AGTTCCATATATGCTTGTAAAGTTCATTAGTTTCTTACTTAAAGATACATTATCATTTCCATTGTGAAATATATAAACATTATACTTCACTGATTGTATATCTTAAGAAATTTGCCCTTTGTATTTTGTATATGCCATTTTGGGAATACAAGCAAAAGTTAAATTCCAGGAAATAAGTGTGTTCTGTATGTTCAGTTGCAAGTAGTTATTTTGTTATGTTGGTATTAGCATAATTGCCTTCTTTTGCAATGAATTGCTACTTTAAAAAACAAAACATAGCTAATTTAAAATACGTTCCTGAGTTAAATTAGATATCAATCGAGAGTACTATAATTTTTCAATTATAACCCATTTGACATAGTCTTTAATAAAGTTACATTTCCTGTACTTTTTGTATGATCCTTATATAGCACAATTCCAAGTATTTTGGTTCTAATTGATGAGTACAGAACTAATTAACTGCTCTTTATTTGTTCATGGTGCGGACATACTGAAAGGCTTCCGTATGGTTAAAACGTCCTTTTCCACATTTGCCTGCCTTTATGAAAACTGTGATTTATTCAGAGTACTTAACATTTGAATATGTGCCATGATATCTCTTCTTTGACATTTTCTGATTCTCAGCTACGTTCCCTAATGGATCTTTTATCTAGTGCTGGGTAGCATAATGTGACTGGGATAAAATTTCAGTTATTCCTCAAAGTTTTATCACTCTTTGTAATTGAATCACAATTTTTATTATGTCTTAGATATGTTTATTTAGTTAATCACTCATTATATACTTAATTCTGGAACATAATTTCACTTAACCCTACCGTATGATTTATTTTGACTACAGATGTTAAATAAAACTATGATGAACATGTTAAGTCTATGTCTATATAGTTTATTTTTTTTAAGTTTGAATATAATGTTTATTATAATTGCTCAATACTGGATTCTTTAGCTGATCTGTTACAGGTAGGGCTCTTGTTACTTAATTATATTTTTAGGAAGGATGTTTAGAGTATAAGAAATCTGTTGTTAAATTAGCGTGGCAGTCTTGCTTCTGTGGGTGATCTCCATCTATTCTTAAGAGTTTTATTTTGTAAGATTGTTGCCAAGAAATTATTTCTTTTCCTTCTTTCATTTAGCTTTTGGATCATGAAGGATATATTAGTTAAGTCAAGCTGCTACTGGCAATTTTTGTGTCTGAATAATTTTTTATACACTCGTGAGATTTTACTTCTGTGTTATAAATGTACTGCTAGTAAAAAAAAAAATCAATGTTTTAGCTCTTTCATAAGCAAGACTATTTTTATGTGATCTCTAAGAAATTCCTTCTTTCACACTTTTCTGTTTTTATACAGGTCCTCATGCTGATACTGCCAGCGGATGCCAGAATTTGCAGTGTGGTTTTCGAGCCTGCTGCCGCTCTGGCGAATGACCTTGACTTCTGACCTTTGTCCACTTCATTTAGCTGAGCAGGCTTCCTTTCATGCACTTTACTTATAGCACATGTTCTGTGTTAACCGTCCTTTTAGAGAGTGACTTGTTTTGGCCCCATTTCTTACAGCCTCAGAAATCTTAATTTACCAGTGAATTGTACAGTGTTGTTTCTCTTGCAACTCATTTTTATTTTAGAAAGAGATTAGGTCTTTTCATAAGGGTGAGAACAGTTTCATCAGATTTCTTTTAAATTGAATGCTTTGAAAAGAATGTTACTTAATGCCATGCCATTTAAAGTATTTTTTAGATTATTTTGAGTTTTAAAGTCAGTGGGGATTATTGGTTCTCTTTATATCTAAACACTGTACTAAGCTTTGCAAATCTTTTCAAACATACATTTCTGAAGTTTTATTTTCAAAGACTGCACATTTTGGAAACAAATCTCTTTTCTGTAATGTTTCCTTTATTTGAACAGTTCTCAGAGGGCCAATTCAAACATACTCACATTTAAAATTCTTTAAGATTATAGAATAAATTGGCTTCTTGGTGTTAGCTCAGTGAGCGAGCAAAGCACCAATATATTTGTACTTGCTTTCTTCAAAGACCCCGGGTTCCTGTCGCTCACTAAACTGTCAAATTTGGGAGGGATTTTTAAAAATTCCATAATGATTTGAAGAAATGTATAAATAAAATCTGCTTTCAGGACTTTACCAGGTAATTTTGTGTTTTGCTTTTATTATAAATCTCAATGCAGGTTTACTTTAGTGTAAAATAGGACTAAATATTTGGTCTTTTGAGCTCCCATGAAATCATGACCCTGACAAACAGTTTTAGACAGATACCTAATTTTGTTGAGCTGAATTGTCTTTTGAAATTAATTCTACAAGAGTCAAAATTTGAATTTCTAAGCTTATCTTTACTGAGGTGTGAAAAGAGAGTGAAGACCTACCATTCAGAAAGGCACATAGTGAGTCAGTTTTATGTAATGCCATATATAATTTATGTCATCAGGAGAATAGTTGCAGCATGCCAGTTATTTTTAGAAATACATGCAAGGCTGTGGAAGAGGAATTATTCTTGCAATCTTGTGATTTGTGGCCCCAGGTATTCTTTTGTTTGTTTTATTGGAGGATAGGGAGAGTAGGAGAGATAACCTACGGGTAGACAGATTTCAGTTCAGGCTAAGAGAAAACTTTATTTTAGATAGAGTTGTCTAAAGAAGAGGGAAGAATCATTTGATGGGAATATAAATAAGGAGAATTCACTCATGCTTTTAAATTTTGCTAACATTTGAATTAAACACTCCAAGGGTAGATTAGCTCTAAAGGGAGGATATCTAATGACTGAAATTTCAGCTTCCTCTAAAGGTCCATTTTGATTCCATTGCTAACATTTGCAGAATAAAAGATGGAACCCGACAAGTTTCTTGCATATTGGATAGGGCAGCTGTATAAGCAGACAGTCTTAGCTTTTGAGTTTGTATGTCTTATCCTAAGTAGGCATGTCTTTTGTGGCACCACTGTACCTAGCCTCCTCCTTTTCAAGTCTGGCCTAAGCTCAAAGTAAAAAACAATTTCTTGATTCCCTTAGAGAACTTAAAAGGAAATCTAACCTTAGCAGTTACAGGGTCAGAAGTTTTATTTTGTAAGGTTGACTGTTTTGTGGTTATTATATTTTTATTTCCCTAAGTGTTTAATAACATTTATTTGAGAAGTTAACATCAGGGACTATTAAGAAAACAAACTACAAGAATTCTTCTGGAGTGATTCCCATCCAACCCCATACTTCATCCTATCTGTATTTACATGAGCTGCATGGTGAAATTACTCATCTGTAACCATGGCCTAGAGTCATCAAAGGAGGACTTGGGTTTATTCCCCATGTAATCAGAAAACAGTATAATGTTATTTGGGGAAAAATTTTGATAATACCTATGGAAAAAATGATTAAGTGATGTTTTAGGACTTGGCTTAAATGTTAATTAATTTGAGCAGCTAATTTCCCCATGGGTTCCAGGTAATTGTGGTGTCTCCCTTTTGCTTTGTCCTTTGCTGGTCGATGTTAGAAACCATTACCTAGAACTTGGCACTCTTGAACCAAACGGACTTCAATACGTCAGCACATTGTCATGTGGAAACTCACTGTTTTTCGACTATCCCCCCGTATCTTTCTCCCATATAGCATAATCTGCATTTAATTTTTATACATTTTTGCTGTTTCATTATTAAGGGGATAATTAATAAATAATGAAACCCTATACTTGATTTAAATTTATCTTGGGTTTTGTGATTAATTTCATGAATGATGGAAACTGTTCATTCTCGGAATAAAAGGCAACAGTTATGTAAAATGCCTTATCGTGCTTGACAGACATCAGGTGCTCAGTGTGGGGCAGTCTTCTAAGTGTTTTACATATACTGATGTTTAATCATTACAACAATGTGATGATAGGTAATGTGATCATCCCAATCTTATATATGGGGGAAGTTAAGTAACAGAGAGGTTAAGTAACTTGTCCATGGATTACTCAGCTAGTAAGTTGCAGAACTAGATTTCTCTAGAGTTGATACTCTTAAGCACTATGCTATCCTACCTCTCTATTGTTACATTGGTAATGACTGTTATGGCTCAGTCCTTGAACCCTTCCTTGGAGTTCACAGCAGAGGTATCAGAGACATGTAAAAACATAATTGTAATATAACTTGACAGAGGAAGGCATAAGGGAATAAAGAAAAGGTGAAGTTTCTCCTTAATTTGCTTCCTCTTTTTTTTTAAGTGAGATCGTATTCCAGCTACGTCAGCGGTTCTCAACTGGAGGCAGTTAATCCTGTAGAGGACATTAGACAGTGTCTGGAAACATTTTTGGTTGTCACAACTTGACACAGGGGAAGGATGCAATTGGCATTTAGTAGGTAGAGGCCAGTGATGCTGCTAAACATCCTACAATGCACAGGACAGTCCTCCACAACACATAATTACTTGCCCCAAGATGTCAGTAGTGTTGCTGTTGAGAAACCCTGTTTACATATTTCTATTTTGTATACATCTTTCTATGTCAGCACCATACATTTAGTCCTTTTTAATTGCTTAGTATAGCATTATTTGAATGTGTCTGTCTTAGTCAGTTTGGGCTGCTGTAACAGAATACCATAGACTATGTGGTTTAAACAGCAAACATTTAGTTTTCACAGTTTTGGAGGCTGAGAAGTCCAGGGTCAAGGTGCTGGCAGATCTGGTTTCTGGTGAGACTCTCTTTCTGGTTTGCAGACAGCCATCTTCTCACTGTATCCCCGCATGTTCTAGACAGAGGAAGCAGGCTTTCTCTTGTCTCTTCTTAAAGGGATAAGGGCACCAATGCCATGATGAGGGCTCCACTCTCAAGACCTAATTACCTCCCAAAGGCCTCATCTCCATACCATTACGTAGGGGATTAGGGTTTCAAGATAGGAATTTTTAGGGGACACAAACATTCAGTCCATAACAATGTCTTAATTTTTTAAACTACTTCCCTTTTGATGAATATTTAAATATATTCCTTTTTTTCTAAAATACTTGATTGCTTCAGTGGGTGTATGTGTGTGTATATGTATGCATGTATGTACATGTGCATGCTTGTTCAGTATTTCTGTAGGATAAGGTATTATGAGGTATTCAACATTAAAAATAAAAATTTTATATTACAAAGTTCTTTCTCCTTCCCTCAGAAAAGTTGTGTTGTTTTATTGGGTCTTAAAAGTATGATTGCGGTTCTGCTGGACCAGCAACGAAGAAAGGCCTTCCAAGTAGAAGGTGAGCAAGTAGACAAGCATCAAGGTATGAAGCTCATAGTGTAAGTGGGAACTGTGGCTAGTGTCAGCTGAATTAAGGGTCAGAGTAGCAAAGACAAGGCAGACTACTAATAAAAACACTTATTTTTCACGGTTTGAAAATAATGATAATTTTATTCCATTATTTGCCAATATTTTCTTTCTGACGTGATGAATATCACTTAAAAATATTCTCATATCCTACTTATAGTTTTTACACGATATAAAAAGTATACAGTGAAAGAGCTACCTATTGCGTATAAGGGAGGCAACATAGATCCAAACAGACAGAACATTTTTGGGATATGGGTGGATATATACAGCTAAAGCAAATTCAACGTTAGGAACATCAATATTATGTACTCCAGTGCTATACACAGCTTCAATTAAAGGCTTCAGTTCAGAATAGGGCATGTGAAGGGGAAATCCAGAGAACTGAAGGAAAAGAAAGAACCATGATTTGTAGTCATTAGTGAAGCTTGAAGATGTCACTATATATTTTTTCTCGTAAATGTACACAACTCAATATTCTTAATAGGTTTTCCTTCTGGATCTCAGTCATTTATTTAGTTCTGTTTTTCTATTAAGCTATATTTTAGCAATACAGAAAATGGAGAGGAGCTAAATGTCTTTTTTGTTTTAGTTGCCAGCATACTGACTTCACGTGTAAACCACCTGCTAGTCACCCAGCCACCCTCCAATGTTTCCTTCCAAGCTCTTCCTGATAGTCCCTAGTTTGCCTTGTAACCCATGTAATTCCAGGGACCTAGATTAAGCTAATCAATGCATTCTATCCTGCTGGCCACAGTGATTGATCTACAGGGATGGTTGTGTGATTAAAGTGAGTCTCAGGAAACTTTAGGAATAATGGCGCACGGATGCTCTCCTGCTTTGGACAATATGTGTGCACATGTGAGCCCTGCCTGGATCTGTTCCAGCCATTTGTTCCCGCTAGAAAGTCAGCCTGAGGATGATGCCATCACATCCACTGGATGCCATTGGAGGAGGGCAGAGTGGGAAGATTTGCAGAAAAGTAGTACAGCTCTGATAGCTACGTAAGCCAATAAATTCTTTTTATTGCTTAGGCCTGTTTGAACTAAGTTTTATGTTACTTGAATTGAAAACATCCTGGCTGAAAACCGGGATTAATTAAAGGATAAATTTTATTCAGTGAATCTTCACACTGTTTAGCCAACAAGGCTTACTGTCTTAGTTTGAGACTGCTTTCTAGGTTTTATTATTCAGCTGTAGGATGTCAATGCACAGCACTACCCACAGGCAGTAGAGAAGATACGTCATATATTAATGAGAATTTTTCTTAGCAATGAAAAGCAATTAGTATAAAATTGTATCCTTTTAAAAAATCTGAGAGTGGTTGCTTTCACCTTTATGCACAGTTGAGTGTAAAAGGATTTAGCCAGATGTTTTCATTTAATACTTGCAATGTATTTCATAAAAGTATTTTCCATAGGATCCTCTTATAAAAAATATTTACATTTTCTAGAGGCATTTTGCTATTTAACGATAGCTTAATGACTGAGATTTGAACTTTTAATCACATTTTTAGTCTATGCTACTTCATCTGTGTACTTCGGGGAGAACGTAGGTATTTTGATTCCAAAAACCCATTACTGAGCAATTTCCATTTTGAAACGAAATTCACAAGCTCAATTTAGAGCCATTTGTACTTACCCTGTAGTCTCCCAGCTGTTTCAGCAGTTCTGCTCTGTGGTCATCTTCTACGTCTTCTCCTTGACTTCTTTCTAACAGAGGCAAGAAGTGGCGTAGTGTGGAGGTACAGTACCTATTCCACCGAGTCAGATGGCGTGGCCTCCAGTCCATGATTTTTTCTTTTAGTATTTTTTCAATCCTATTCATAAAAAATAAACTCCATTTTTTGCTGATTTGACTTTTCCCTTGTAAACAAAAATACAGTTTGTATACAGTGGGGATTCAGGTGCTTACATAACCACATTTTTGTTGGTGGACTTGTCATTCACTAGGCATAGTTAGTACCCACTATGAGCTAATCTCTGAGGATTCAAAAATTAATACAAGTGATCCTTGCCCTTGAGAATTGCATATGGTTGGTGTGGGCAATAGTAAGCAGAAATGATATGATATCCTAAGGGCCATAAAATACTTGAAATGTAACTCAAAATTTTAAGGAAGCACTGAATAACTGAGGGATAGTCAAATTCAATACATTTGGCAAAAGACTTTTTTAATGTCATGAAATGTTTTATCACTTTGTTCATTGGTAACGTATAGACAGGCAGATAAACTAGACCCAGGCGTAAGGGGTGGGTTTATGTTGAAAGCTTCAGATGTTTGTAGGGCTATTAATACCGAACATTGATTCTTTCCCCTGTGACTTCTATTCATGAGGATTGTTTTTTTAAATTGCCTTAAAACTGCCTTTAAAGTATCCATCATCATTGCAACTTAACTTTTGATATCCTGCTTCATAGTTAATATGATAGGGATTGGATCCATAGGATGTGAAACTTAAACACAGAATAAGGGAAAATAGCTACCATCTCTTGAGCCTTTATTTGCCAGGTATTGTGCTAAGTGCTGTACATTTTTATTTAATCCTAACAGTAACCCTGTGAGGTAGGGGATATTTTGATTTTATTTATGAGGGGACAGTTTGAGGTAGGATAAGTGATTTGACAATGGCAGGGGAGTTGGGATTTGACTTGACACCTTGCTCATTCTAAATGAAGCTTCTTGTGCATCCTTAACCAAACGGATTTAGGGACCCAGCCAGCTTCGCATTGCTCAATAGCTGTAGGATCTGCTTCTCTTTTGGCATATAACACTTACATTTGTTTTGGGTTTCAAGGTGGTCTGAGTGAGAAAGTCTGGATGAATTCCCTTGCACTTCCTCAATGTTGGAGAAATAAATGACATGAATCTAATAGTATCCTGAAACTATTAGAAGAAACAAAAGGGAATTTTGGGGGAATCAGTTGTTCTAGGTGGAGATCTCAAGGCTTTATTTGAAAATTGAAATTGAGTAAATTGATGTTTTCGAGTAATAATACCTTAAAAAAAGGTCACATTTATTCTGGTGTAATTTGACATGCTGTTCTTCACACAGCTTGATACAGTAAAGGGCACGCAGGCTTTGAAATCAGAAAGATCTGGCTGGGCTCGGAAGCCCCCTCTAACACTTTACAAGTGTGTGGATCTTGCTGAGCCTCAGTTTCCACATTTGTGAAACCGGAAGAATAAATTCTGTTTTACAGAGTTATAAGGATTATAGGGACTAAAATAGGCTCTTACCAGCCTTCTCCTAAAGGTTTATAAACGAGCTGAAGTTCAGTAAGCCGCTAATTGGACAAAAGAGGCGTATTTAAGCTGAGGATTATGATGTGTCTGAACAAGACCTATCACAGATGTTGAGCTCTAACCCAACATAGAGTTTTTGGAGAACTACCTATCATTGCTGGAGTTCACTTCTGTTAGAACCACACCATGCTGATGCTAAAGCCTCCTTTTGAGCCATGGGATTTAGTGATCACATCTCATCTGTACTTGGTATCTATAAATGTGAATTAAAGTTTAATTGCCCAAATTATTTCACATTCATCTGGGCTGAGAGTCATGTAGTTTGGTGTTGCACTGCTAGTGACAGATGACTTGGGGATTTAGGGTGTCATGTGACCTGTCTTGTAGCTCAGCTGCAGCCGCTTTGTCTGTGCGCTGGTAGATTAGCTCTTCTGGCTATAAAAGAGAAAATAGTTAAGAAATCCTAGAAATCACACTTAATTTGAATAGCTATACATACTGTTCTAAATCTTTTTAAAAAAAATTATGAAATCTCAGATTCATTCAGTTATAGAGGATAATATAATGGATACTAGTGTACCTGTGATCCACCTTAAGTGAAGTATCACAGAAAAAATTATAGGGCTGTGTAGTTCTTTCTCAATTTCATTTCCCTTCTCTCTCATCACAGAAATAACCATGACCTGAATTTGTTTTTCAGCATTCTTTGATTCAACATATGTTGAATACCTACTGTGTGCCAGGCACTTTTACAGGTGATGGGGATATAGTCATAAATACAAATCCCTGCCCTCATGAAGTTTACATTACAGTCAGTGGAGATAGGCAAATTAATAAAATGTGTTTATGATTTTATTACAGATATATGTACCCCTAAACTATATTATATTGTTTTGCGTGTTTTCTAAACTTTAAAGATTTTATTTTTTTCCTTTTCCTCCCCCAAAGCCCCCTGGTACATAGTTGTGTATTTTTAGTTGTGGTTCCTTCTAGTTGTGGCATGTGGGATGCTGCCTCAGCATGGCTTGATGAGCAGTGCCACATCTGCGCCCAGGATCCGAACTGGCAAAAGCTTGGGCTGCTGAAGTGGAGCACGCGAACTTAACCACTCGGCCATGGGGCTGGCCCCTCTAAACTTTATGTAATAGTTTTATACTGTGAATATACAACTTGCTTTTTCTTCTGTAACACTGTATTTAGAGATAATAGCAAACACATGTTTCTAGAGTGCTTACTAAGATTCATTAATGTTGATTCACTTGTGTAACTACTATGAAATATTCTGTTATATAACAGAATTTATCCCTTATGTCTTTCCAATTCTTAGGCTATTGGAAACAGTGTTCCTATGAAAAGTCTTGTATATGTCACTTTGTACACATGGGAGAATTTCTATGGGGTGTTTTTTAGATCTTTTTTGGGAAAGGTTTGGATCACGGTAAAAAGTACATTTTATATTGCACACCCACTATACACAAACAAAATCAAATTAAACTAATCAACTAAGCTAATCAAACAAAAGTTTTAATAAACAATTCTCATGCTTACTACTTACAACCTACTACTGGGCAGGACCTTCTAAATTAATTTCATGAGCCCCTAGTGGATCATGCCCTGCAGTTTGATTTCACGTTTTAACAGCAGTAATGAAATTAACTTAGTGAATCGAGACCAGTATTTAAAAAATTAAATGGATTATATTTTGTGGTACTTTTTGTGTTATGGGACTCCTTACATCAAAACTTTTCTTTCACGTATGTGTACACTGGTTCATGATGTCATGGTAATTTCTTATTGTGAGTTGGGCTTAACTAAGCTTGAAAAACAAATATTATTCTAGACTAAATATCTAGAAGTAGAATTAAGCATCAAAAAATATCTGCCTACCCAGTATGATGATTTCAGATTCCTCACTTTCTTTGTCTATGCTTAATTGTTAGTAAGAGAATTATACCTGGACACTGGAAAGGCCAGGATATGGAAGGCTTCTTGAGAAGAAAGATTTCCATAGCTTGGGCTTGGTGATGTCAAAATTTATCCTCAGTGGGGAATCATGTCGTTGAATATTAAACCAAATCTAAAAAGACAGGACTACATTAGCATATATGGTAAGCAGATATATACATGTGTCTGTGTGAGTGTGTGCCTGTATGTATAGAAAGAGTAAGCAGAGACAGCAAGAGGACATGCAGGATGCACATTTTTTGTCATATTTCGATTTGTAAAGCCAGTATGCATTTTATAATCAGTGACATCATATACTTGTCATTGGCCATTTTTTCACCCCTTTTAAATCTGAAGTTGAGGTGCACTGTACTATTAATTGTAGGTTGATGAAATAAGACAGTTCCTGATGATAAGAAAGTCAAAATCTTTTAGGAGAAACCAGACAAGGCCACTCCTTTCTCAGGCTAGCCTTTTCTAACTCTGCTCTTCCAAGCCTCCAATTGTGTTAGGTGTCCACCTTTGCTTCCACAGCACTCTGTAATGTCTGAGATAGCACCTGTCTTGTTGAGGCAGTGTAGCATGTTGGATCTGGAAGCAGACCACTTGCATTTGAATTCTGGCTCCAACATTTACTAACTGTGACCTTGGACGATTTATTTAACTTCTGTGCGCCTCAGTTTCCTCCTCTATAGAGTAGATAATAGTATCCACCTCATCAGGTTGTTGAGCAGATTAAATTGTTAATTCATCTGTACCTCTTAGAACAATGCCTGGTACATAGTAAGTGCTCAATAATTGTTAGCTATTTTATTACTATTATTAGTATTTATCATTTTTTATAATTACTTGTCTATTCACCTGTCCCTTCACTAGATTGTTGCCTTAAGGACATTCGCCATGTGTCTTATTCACCATTGTATCTTTAGCATCTAGCATAGCTCCTGTCATATAGTAGGTATACTGAATGACCGTGTGAATGAGTGGCAAATTTGTCCATTCAACGTATTTATCAAGTACCTGCTATCTTCAGGCTCAGTTCTAGTCACTGGGGGTAAAGTAGTGAATGAACAGAGTCCCAACCCTCATGCAGTAGCTAGTGAGATAGCACAAACAAATAAGTAAATACATGGGGTATCAGATAATGCTACGTGAGGCAGTAGATTGTATCATTGGTTCCTATTCTTTAACCCTTCCCATACCCAAATCCTTTGCTATGTTACTTTGCACTTCCTCTGAGTAAAAGGGCAGACGTGTATTTCCCTGCTCCTTGACTTTTGGCCAGTAGAATGGGACAGAAGTGTCAGTGTGTGACTTCTGATTCTAAGCATAAGAGGCTTTGTGTGTTCCTGGCTGCCCTCTTGTGCCTCTGTCATTGTCATTTCCCTGAGTCCTAGAATAAACACACATGAAGCAGAGCTTTCTCAGCCTAGATCAGCAGAGCCTTCCCAGCTGACCTACAGAACCATGAGAATAGATGTTTGAAGCCATTTAGTTTGGGGATGAGTTTTTACTATCTTTATTGTGGCAGTAGCTAACAATACAAGAGCTGTGGAGAAAACTCTGTGGGAAGAGATGAAATTTCAGTGTGGGCAGGGAAGTGCTCACTGGAATGATGACATTTGATCAGAAATGCAAGAAGTGAGGGAGAAATCTGTGAAGATATCCAGTAAGGGGAGGAGTCATCTATGCAGAGGAAACAGCAAATGCAAAGTGTGCTTGATGTGTTTGAGGAACAGCAAGGAAGACCTAGTGGCTTTAGAGGAGTGAGCAAGTAAGAGAGGAGATCTCTGGAGGATAGGGGGGCAGGGTGCTGTCATGTTATAGAAGGCCTTGTGGACCATCAAAGATTTAGGCTATGACTCTAGAGTGAGCTAGGAAGCCATTAGGGTATTTTAAGCAGAGGAGTGACATAATTTGCATTCCATTTTAACAGGAATATTCTTTGCTGTTTTGAGACTAGACAGAAGGGAGTAGGGGCAAGTAGAGAAGTCTCCAGTTAGGAGGCTATTTTGAAAAATCCAGGTGACAGCGACAGTAGTGTGGACCAAAATGGTAGTGGTGAAAGTGGGGGGCTGTGGTTGGATTCTGCATATACTGTGAAGGTAGAGCCATTGGGATTTGCTGATGGATTGGATGTGGGAGAAAGAGAGAAAGGAATCAAAGAGGACTCCAAAGATTTTGACCTAAGTAACTGGACTGAGGGAGTTGCCATTTATTGAGATTTGAAAGACTGCAAAAGGAAATCAGGAGTTCGAATTGGGTATGTTAAATTTGAGATGTCTATCTGACATCTATAAGAAGATGTTGAGGAGGTTGTTGGATATTTGAGTCTGAAGTTCTAGGAGCTAGGTGAGCTGGAGACGTAAATTTGGGGATCATCAGCATATATATATGTTCTTAGAGATGAAGTATACATAGAAAAGAGGTTTGATGAACTTGAACTTTGAAGATCTCTGATTTTTCAAATTCAGAGAAATAAGGAAAAAACAGCAAAGGATACAGAGAAGTGGCAGCCAGTGAGGTAGGAGGCCTCAATACTTGGAATCCAAATCAAGAAATTGTTTTAAGAGAACTCAGGTTCTCTGAATCTAAATCCTGTATTCTTTCTTTAACCTCATTCTGCTTCTCCACAGGTCAGGTGACTAATTCAATGAAGTGTTTTATTTAGGACAGTACTGCCACTGTGCTTAACACTACATTTCTTTTTAATTGTATATGTTTATATAAATTTTTTTTGATACATAAAATATTATTTAAATCACTAGGTAAATTTTAAAAAAAGCAACACTCAACCAACCATATTTAAGAGGAGATGGTAATACTTACATTATCAGGACCTATTAAACAGCCCACACTTTTTAAGGGACAGAATGTATCAAATTGTCCATAAAAATGTCCACTGCAGGGATTCCATATTAAATAGTGACTTTGCTCCCGAGTTAGCACATAGGCAGTTGGACCCTGAAGGAAAATAGCCATTAAAACAGTTTCCAACTAATTATGCAATTAAGATCAAGTGTAGTTTGCACAGATAATTCATTATTTTAGTTGGTCCCCTAATTTGTAAAATCCATGGCTAATGGTGAAAATTAGTTTGAAGTTCTGGGTTGTGCTGCATTTAAGATACAAAATCAAATGTTTGTTTTTGCAAAATTCTTGCATCTGCTACTAGTGCAGTGTAGTGACCAAATAGGGATAGTAATCATGTTACTGAACCAATATTTCTTAAGATTGGCTGAAGAACTATTATTAATGGAAATAAGTAGTCACTGCATTGTCTTTTTATAGTCAGTAAGATTACCGTTTAAGTATTTAGAAGGCTGATTATGGCTGAATACTACTTCCATTTCTAATACAGTAACATTTGATATGCATTTATAACTATGTAAATACGTAGAAGATGATTTGAAAGGATACATACCAAATTGTTACCAGTGAATACACCTGAGGAGGAGGTGGGTTTGGGGGTTGGAACCTGAAGAGGCACATGACTTTTTACTTGGAATACTTATGTATTATTGGATTCTTTTTTTACAATGAGCATTTATTCATTTATTGCTCATGTATGATTTCATTTGATGGTCACAATAGCCTTCTGGGGAAGGCAGGGCAAAAATTATTATCTCAGTTTCATTATAAAGCTCAGAGTTGTGAAGTGACTTGCTTAGAGTCACACAGCTCATGAGGAGTGGGCAGAGCCTTGAACCCAGGCCTTGTGACTTCCTAGCCCAGTGTTCTTTTCCTTGTACCAGGCTGTCTGGAAGACAGTGATGGAGAATGAATTAGGATTCAGATATGAAATTACCTGCCTAGCAGCACCCTGTGCTATTGAATTCCTGAGAATTCCTAGAGCCTTGTGTCCTCTTTTTGAAACATTCTTTGGATAAGCTGCTTTAATCTAAGTGAATTTTCTAAACTTGTACCCCAAATTACCCAACGTGCCCAAAATTTATTTGGAGGATATTTGTGGTGGGCTGGGGAAGCAGGTTCTAATTGTCTCTAAGTCTCCAGTCTAATAAAAATAACAGTGATAATATCAAAATATCGCTGCTAACATTCTTTTCTTTGCTGCTGTGGTTATTTGCCTTATTCCCCTGTGCCTGCTGGGTTAGTGGCAAAGGCCCTTAGCAGCAGCTGGCGTGAGAGGAGATCCCTAACCTTGCCACACTTTTTTGGATCCCTGTCACTCCTGAGCATGAACAACACTAGATCACTAAAGGGAATCAGAGTTCTTGGTAACATGGGTAGGAGGGGCTCATACTAAAAGGACACAGCTCGGTGGGGGTCTGGGTTTTGAAGCATTGCATAGGGTCTGAGTACCACAGAAAACCATTTCATGTCTTATTACTGGTTCTCTCTGCCTATTGTGGAATCTCTGGGCCACTTTCCTAGCTACTCGAAGGATCGTTATGAAAATAAGTCCTGTCCATGATCTGGAACATAACACAACCATTTTAGACAGGTACACTGCTCCGTTAGAGCGGGCCTACGTGGTCTTACCTCAGGAATAGCATTGCCCATCATGAGCCAGGCCTTTTTACCCAGGGAGAGAAAATAATTACATAGTAATACTGCGTGCTCTTCTTCATCTCCTGCCAGGAGATCAAGAAATTGCTGAGAAAAAGAAAAAAAAATCATGTTGCTTTGATTGACTCTTCATTCTGGATTGACTATACAGAATTTTAAAAAGTCATTGTTAAAATTAGTCCCTTAAAGTATAAGATGTATTTTAACATTTATTTTTTTATTTTTATTTTTTGTGCTGAGGAAGAGTCACCCTGAGCTAACATCTGTGCCAATCTTCCTCTATTTTGTATGTGGGTTGCCGCCACAGCATGGCCACTGACAAGTGGTGTAGATCCACTCCTGGGAGCTGAACCTGGGCTGCCAAAACAGAGCGCACCAAACTTACCTATTAGGCTATGGGGCTGACCCCCTATAAGATGTTTTTTAAAAATATTTTCCCAAATTTTGATACTGTGTTGATAATTCATTAAAAAGATCTCTTTTAGTGAAAATGGTGTTTTCTCTTATGACATGGATTTCTAGAATCAATTAACACTACGATTGGGGTAGGGGAGAGAGATTTCAAAGTTTTACTTTTCCTTTTGAATTTATATTTGATAGCTCACGATGTGCTAAACACTTTTTAAAAAAACACTAGTTTTTAGAGTAGTTTTAGGTTCAAAGCAAAGTTGGGAAGAAGGCACAGGATTTCCCATATTACTCTCTGCCCCCACACATTTACAGCCTCGCCCATTATCAACATCTGGTACATTTGTTACAATTGATAAACCTACACTGACACATCATAATCATTACATTAGGGTTCACTCTTGGTGTTGTACATTCTATGAGTTTCGACAAATGTATAGTGACATGTATCCATCATTATAGTATCATACGGTATTTTTACTGCCCTAAAAATCCTCTGGGCTCTGTCTATTCACATCCCTCCCCACCCACACTGTTTTAAGCACATGGTATGCATTAAGTCATTTAATCCTAGAACAAACCTTTGAGGGAGGGACTCTGATCTTCCCCTTTAATACCTAGGAAGTGGTAAAGCCAGTCTGGCTCTAGAGCACATGAACTATTCTGTTCTTTGTATATATTCTTATAGATGTCTCCAGGTTGTGGAAATTTTATCTCTAAAATTGTCACCATTAGAGGCATTTTACTGTTTCATTGGGGAATGAAAAATTTAAAGTGTTCTTCAGTTTAGAGCTGTCCTTCAAAGGGAGTTGTATAACATAGTTCAGTTTTATGCAAACACAGTACAACACGAGATCCAGAAACAGAATGAATACCAATGATAGTATATGTTTGTTTCATACTACCAAAGATCCATTTGGAAGTTTAGGTAACATACATAGATTGTAACTTCTGTGAGGGCAGAGGCCATGTTTATTTGACTCATAACTAGAACTTAGTACAGTTTCTGATATGTGATAAGTGACCAAGAAATACATACTGAATGAATGATGACATGGCATGCCTTAAGAAGTTCACAAATTAAGGAATATACAATTTCCAAATGTAATATAGAACGTAATTTTGATTTTTTATGAACAAAACTAGGGTACTGTTAATACTAGGAAGGTAAATCAGCATTAAGACATCTGACGTTTTTTTAAAAAATTCTTTGTGCAAATATATTTTTTTAAAATTCTCAACTTTGGGCAGATTGAACCAGAAAAAAAAATACTTCAGAATTTAGCTCTTGCTAAACAGATGGCCAAGTCGATTTTTATAACAACTAATGAATGTTGCAGTTTAAAATGATGCAAGCCATTTAGCTAATATTCAATGAAGTCAGCTCGAACTAGTAAATCTGTGAGAGAGAACCACTTACATCAGATGTGCTCCATAGGTCACAGATGCCAGCAAATGAAACAGTGTCAGGCAAGAAAGGAATCAATGAAACATATCGAGCCACCAGTTCCTGTTTAAACAAAATTAGCTTAAAAAATAATTTTCAATAAAATAGAGAGCTGGATCCTCTACCTCATTTCTTGCAAGAAAGTTTCATATATCACAAACATTTATATGTACAAAATGAAACTGATGCTCACCAAGTGCTAACTGAATGTTGTGTTAATATTATCTCATTTACTCATCTCCAAACATCCGAGAAGGAAGGTCATTGTTATATCCATCTTTTACAGATGAAGAAACTGGCTCTGAGTCTCTTTGAAATGTCCTCATCATGTTTTTTTTTTTTTTGCGCTTCCTTACTTTCCGGTATAAGAACAGTTTGTTTTTTTTTTCTTTTTTTGCACTTCCTTACTTTACGGTATAACAACAGTTTTTTTTTTTCTTTTTTTGCACTTCCTTACTTTCTGGTATAACAAGGATCATTTTGTATAGTCCAGTCTTGAAAGCAGCCATTTCTCCAAGAAGCCCTAGTTCCTTTTAGAAGGTAACAGTATTTAGAAACCAAGATTAGGGCATCATTGTAGTTATAACTCCTATTTCTGTAATTTTTAATGAGGTTGAACATCTTTTTGTATACTTATTGGCCTTTCCTGTTTTCACTTCTGTGAATTTCTATTTTAAGTATTTCACGCAGTTTCTTGTTGATTTATAGGTGTTTTTAATATATTCTAGTTACTATTCCTTTGTCTATTATATATGTTGTAAACATCCTCTCCTGATTTGTAGCTTGTCTTTTCGTTTCCTTTGTGATGTCTTTCGATAAAACCAAGTTTGTGATGTCTTTCGATAAAACCAAGTTCTCAGTTTTACTGTGGTGACATTTATCGTCCTTTATCTTTATAGCCTGTGCTTTTTTTCTATCTTGTTTAAGAAATTCTTCCTATCTCAGGTCATAAAGATAAAAATGCCTTTCATATTTAAGTCTTCAGTCTATCTGCAGTTGAATGGTGTGAAGTTGGAATCTATTTTTATTTTTTCCCTATGAAAAACCAGTGGTCCCAGTACCATTTATGTGCTAGCTGATCTTTTTCTTTACTGATCTCCAGTGCCAGCTTTGTCATAGATTGGGTTTACTTGAGTGGATCTATTCTGGACTTTTTCTTCTCTTCCATTTTTCTCTTTGTTATTCGTGTGTCAACACCATTTTACCTTAATTACTAGGGTCTTATAATTTGTCTGGGTGTTTGGGATGGCACATCTTCCCACTGAGTTCTTATTCTTCAGGATTGCCTTGCCTATCTTTGGCCCTTGGCACTGCCATATAAATATTAGAATTAGCTTGTCAAGTTCCACTTTTAAAAATCTAGTTTGACAGTCTTTGTCTTTTAACTGAAAAGTTTAATCTCTTTGCTTTGCTTGTGATTATTGGTAAATATTTAGGCTATTTTTACTACCTTATTCTGTGCTTTTTATTTTTCACTCTTTTTCTGTTTCTTTTTTTTCGCTCTCCACTCTCTTCACCTCATTTCATTGTTTTTTCTTCTACTAGAATGGAAGTTATGTTCACTTTTAAAAATTCTTTTAAGTGGTTAATGTAGGAATTTCGATGTGAATATTTAACTTTAAAGTTAAAAAATATCTTTGCCCTCATCTTGGTAAATACAAGGGCATTAAAGTACTCTCATCAATCCTGTCCTGACATATATGCATTTTTTTTTCCAGGAATTTTGTCCTGTCCTGATTTTTCACCCATATGGCCATTATTATTGCTATGAAGACAACGCTTGTTCAGATTTACTCACACATTTCCCGTTTTCTGTACCTTGCTAGTGTTATGTGTTGCATCTAGGATTTTCTTTTTTGAGAGTCTTTCTTCTCTTTGAAGTGTATTTATTAGAAATTCCTTAAGTGAGGATCTTTTGGTTGTAAATTCTCCCAATGTTTGTGTGAAAGAAAGTTTCACTGGATAGAAATTACTAGTTGACAGCTCTTTTCTTTCTGCCTTTTGAAGATATTATCCCTTTTCTAGCCTTCATTTGTGCAGCTAAAGAGTCTATTGTCTAATCATTGTTCTGCAGATAATCTGTGTTTTGTCTCTCACTGCTTTTAAGATCATCTTTGTCTTTATAGTTCCCTATGATATGCTTAGATTTTAATTTCTTTTTATTCGTCTTGCTTAGGATTCATTGGGCTTCATAATCAAAGACTGTTGTCTTTCATCAAAATTCTCAGCTCTATTTCTTTGAATATTGCTTTTCTCCATTTATACACAATTTGGTCCTCCTCCCTCCATCCTCTGTGTCTCTTAACCATTCCTTTAAATCTTCCATTTTTTCCTGTCTCTGTGCTATACTATATCCCAAGTAATTTCTTTGCATGTGTATTCCAGTTCACTAGTTTTCTCTGTATTTAACTGTCTGTGACTTAGTTCTGTATTTAACTGTATTTAATGTTTTGTTTAAACTGTTTAATTTATAATTTTAACTATTCAGTCCTTTATTTCTACAAGTTCCATATAGTCTTCCTGTTGATTCTGATAGTCTACTGTTCTTTTTGTTATACCTTCAATTCCCTAGATTTCTGAACTTAGTAAACATATCTATTTTATATTCTGAATCTTTAAGACCCGATTCTGAAGTGTTGTTCCTGCTAACTCTTACCTTCTTCACTGATGATCTTTTATATATTCACGTTGCTTGGAACTTTTTTTGTGGAATTTTTTATTTTTTTTTAAAGATTGGCACCTGAGCTAACATCGGTTGCCAGTCTTTTTCTTTTTCTTCTTCTTCTTCTCCCCAAAGCCCCCAGTACATAGTTGTATATTCTAGTTGCAGGTCCTTCTGGTTCTGCTACGTGGGATGCTGCCTCAGCGTGGCTTGATGAGCGGTGCCATGTCTGCGCCCAGGATCCGAACCAGTGAAACCCTGGGCCGCTGAAGCAGAGTGCGTGAGCTTCACCACTTGGCCACAGGGCCAGCCCCTTTTTTTGTGGAATTTTTTTAAGACTGAGTTTAAAGGGCATTCTTCTAGCAGGATTTGTGTTTGCTTCTGACAGGGATCTGGGAGGCATTGCCAACAGGGAAGACTTTCAATTAAATTTTCTGTTGAATTTTTTTGGGGTCATACAGGTAGTGTAAATTCCAGTCCCAAATGTGAGTAAATACAGCTTACTGATTAGGAATTCTCAGGAGAGACTTTTCTTTTTTTTCCCTTCTATCCAGAGTCAAGGCTGAGACAGGCAGGATTCCTGCTGTAGGGTGGGTATTTCCTAGTTTACCCACTGATGATATTATCCTTCAAGACTCCCTACTCTGTAGCCGAGTCTCTAATTCAGCCTTCCAGGCTGCTCTGGCACCACGCGTTCACTCCTGTTGCCAACAGCCTTGTGGCCCATTGAAACCCAGCTGTAGGCATCAGGAATTACCATACGACCTCAGAGCCAACACTGTTTCAAACCCTCACCCTTATGGAATCTTACTCTCTTGTTGTTTCTGGTCTCTTTCTATTTCTGCCATGATTTTAAAAATGTTTAGAATATTTTACTCATCACTCTTAAGTGTTCTCTAATGGGGTAAGTTTTCTGTATATCTACTGTACTACAGAGAAGTCTCTATTATGGTTTTCAATAAAAATCAATTAATAAAAAAGTAAATGAAATGTGGAACACAGTTTTTTTAATATATCTGTATTTGCAAATAGATATATCATTAGCCTGTTCTTAAATTTCTATATTAATGACCTATTAGCAGTAATTAGTCCCTATACTATCCACTCTCCAAAGACAGTTATGGGTTACAGCATTCACTTAAGAATAGCATGCTTAACCATACGGCTTCTGTTCATGTGAGGTGGTGATGGGTGTGGTGCTTTGCAGCCAGTGAATGGTGCATGTATATTTAATAGCCCAGTAAGGGATGTGCTTTGTGGTGATGGCCTAAATGCTATATGTACTTAAATCTTGGAAATAACTTCTGCCTAATTTTAATTCAATGATGCTTATAGCATTAAGTATAATGCTGAATAGTTATCTTGGTATAGTAGAAAGTGCATGAGTTCTGAAGTCAGAGGCCTAGGTTCAAATCCTAGCAAAGTTATGAGAACACATAATGACAACACATTTATGTTAGACGTTGTGAAGGTGTAGAGCATCTTCAAAATGTTAACTTTCCGGCACCCGATAGAGTGCCAGAGACACAATAAGCACTCAGTAATTGTTCACTGAAAGAAGGAACTAAGGATTATTATCCTCTTTGGTACCTTCAGACTTTTCTAAAGAACGTAAGCCTCATGGCACTAAAAAAGTTTTAATCATTACTTTAATCTCTAATGATCTTGATATGGTTGCTATCTTAAGTACTATGAAATATAGTAATTAAAATGGCAATATATTGAAATTTTAACACCTTTTTAGCACCAGCCCTGATTGGCTATGAAATACTTACTGCTGTTGCCTGTGGGTTATTGGGGTAGGCATTCAGGAGCTCCTGAGGGGGGTTTAAAGGCTTGAGATAACGAGTAATAAAGACAGTTTTCCCACTTATGTCAATCACTGTTGTAAGGCACTGACGATTTGGAAACTTTAAGGCACATTCAGCTTGAAACTTCTCGGTGGCTTGAAGTAACTTCTCATCTTCCTGAGAATCAAACTTCAAAAAAAAAAAAAGACTCCATGGAATTTATGTGTGATTACAAGAGAGACAGTAGAGCTTGCTCAGATCCCACAGTCAACGTGCACTAAATATGTGCTTTAGGAAGTGCAATTGACGCCTTACAAAATTGTCATGGCCTTGTGTCCCTGCAGCTTTATTTAACTATATTTCGAATCTAAAAATTCGATGGATTCATTAAATACTTAAAATATATTCCATAGGATTGAATGAAAGTATTCAACAGGCAAGCAGCCATATGGAAACTGTTGAATTAATAATACAGCCTATAAAAATTAAACTATGATGTACTAGTTCTGAGTGATGAGACCAGGCAATAGAGTTTTATATTATTTTGATGTTGGTTTTAGAGGGGAGAGGGGCTCAGAAATATAACATCTCAAATGCAGAGCTTAAGCAACTCAGGTTAAATGGACAAAAGCAGCTAGTTAAAGCCTAATAACTATTGACTGATGAATGATAAAACAAAATTCTTGGTACCTTTTTAAGCATGTCACTCGTCTATCAGAGGCAAGAAAGAAAAGAGAAGAGAAATGAGAGGAAGACTTTATTACAGAAATAATCTGTTTTTAAAAACTTGTTTTTACCAAGATAATGTAAAGTAGGAGATGTTAAAATAAGAGTTTCAGGAGTTGCTACTGAGTTTTTAGACAATCCATGAATAAATACCTTTTAAAAATCATAGGAAATGGTTCCATATGGGGTAATGGTGGAGGGAAGACTCTAATCTGATAATCCTGGAAGTTGCTGTAAGTGGAAAAACAATTCCAGGTTGTGGTCTCTATTATTTTAGGGTGAGGACTTCTCTTTCCTGAATAATCTGCAAGGGAATCACTGAGTGGCGTTTTCTGCCACTGTGTGTTTAGGATGTCAGGGTTCCATCTGGGCACATGCCTTCTTGACCAAATAGCGGCAAGCCATCTGCACTCCAGAGGGGCTTCCTGTGCCCTCCTTTTAGAGGTCTAAGAGAAATGCTTCGTACAGCCACAATGGGGCAGTGAAATGCCACCAAAGGCAGCAGCCGACAGCCTAGTTATCTGGCTTTAGGTGAGGAACACTGCAGGACTTGGGGGCTATGTTTCAGAGCTCTGGAGGTCACAGCCCCTGAAGCATGCCAGGTGCAAATTGTCTCTGGCTGTCAGCCTTTCAGCCACAGTCACAGACAGCTTTCACATGTTTTGAAGCTCACCTCAAGATGGAGCGCTTTTTCTTTTGTTAAGAATACATAGAAATAGCAAAACCATCTTTTGTCTGGGAGTATTTTGCTGTCTAAACATGCTTGTGGCTTTCTCTTGTTAAGAGTTTATACAGGAAGTATAACAAGTACACAGGAAGAAAAATATTCAGGATATATTTTCCCCTTTCTAGGGAAATGCATATATTTCCCTAGAAATATGCATATATAACTGAAATAGATATATTCTAACATGTTTTCTAGAGAACATACTTGTCACAGCTTTAGTGACAAAGGCTAGCCTGTAAGATTAATTTGAATTTCAGTCGATTTGTTTTTCCAGTAACATTTGCAAAGGGGAAATAGTGACAGTATTTTTCTCTGTGAACCAAATTGTAAAACTGAAAAAGAAACAGAAGAATGTGCTCATTTTTTCATCTCCATCTGAGTCTTAATTAGAATGGATAAACTAAAGAGTCAGCATAATAACAATCTATGCAGCATAGTTAAGTAGCTAACAACTTGGGCTTACACATGAATATAACTCCACAGAATTTTTATTTGCTTTTCTAGGCTGCTGTGTCCGCAGTACCTAAAAAATGCCTGTCATACAGAAGATGCTCCGTAAACATTTGTTGAATACATATGATTTCAAATCACACAGACAGTTAATTGTTAGCTCTGCCATTTACTGCCTTGGTGAACCTGGATACTTGGGCTTCATTTTCCTTGTCTCTCAATTGGGGACCCCCCCGTACAAGACAGCTGTGAGTCTTAAAGGAGAGAACATATGTCAAATGTTTGACATAGTGCTGAGGACAGAGTAAGAACCCAATACATGTTGGTGGTAGTGGTTGTTGTTATTACTGTGTTAGTTTATAATAATCATTTCATGATCTGTACCTTCTCCCAAAACCAATGAGGGCAGTATGCATCAGTGCTGCATAAGTATGTTACATTAAGAAAGCATCTCCCAACAGTGAAGGTCAGGAAACAGTTACTAACAAATGGAAGTCCTGGAGACTCTTTTTTCCAGAGCTGTTCAGAATTAGAGTACTTGTGCATACACTTATTTGTTTCTGTCTGAACGCACTAAAATGAATTGAGGTGACACCTGAAGGTCATGTGGCCTAATGATCCTATGAATTGATTCAATGCAAAGCACAACCAGGGATGTGAGGTCAGACATGGAAATGTATTTAAGCATCCTTGCCAATCAATGTCAAGATAAAAGGGCAATCTGCTTTTCTGGTTTGCCATGTTCATTTCTTCCACTGAGAAGATTCTAAGAGAGGAGCATGTTTATATTTGTTTGCTCTGCCTAAGAGTTTAAGATACTGATTGACCTAATTATTGGCTCACAGGAAGTACAAATCCACAAGGCTGTTCTCTCACCTTCATTCTGTCCAAACCAAAAGACACTGTCCAATAAGTGGACACCGAAGTAAGGAAACCTGTGCTTGTGCTGTACAGGCCGAGTTTATAAAAGCCTAGCCTAGTAAGCATTTTCCACATTTCGTTAACATCAGATATGCGATTCCAAAGTGTAAGCAGAGTTACCTTTTCTCGAACAGACTCCCCAGGAACCAGCTGAGGCTCCATGGTGATGAACAGGGTGATGTAGGAGCCTTCGCTTAGGCTTCGGACAGGGTCAAAACCCCGCTCAGCAACCACACTTTGCTCCTTACTGTAGCCCAGAAGAACTGGGGGAGTATCTATTTTAAATGTCCCATCAATCTGTGAAGGAAATACAGCTTGGTAAACATCCTGGTGGTTTTCCAACAGATGTTCAAAGGCAAGTGTCAACTCCTCATCGTCTATCTGATGAATTCAGTAAAGACTGGTCAGACTGGTGTTCAAGGCCCACCCCTTCTTTCTAAGCTTGTCTCCCTAAGCTCTCACAGAAAGGGCTCTCTATTTCCCTGCCTTCTTTTCTTGGTTTAGCAGAGTGTGTACTAGTTGATACTAACCCTAGGTTGCCTGGGTTCAAATCCTGGATTAAACTCCAAGTGCCTCAGCGTGTACATTTCTAAAAAGGAGACAATAATAGTCCCTACTTTGTAGGGTTGTTATGTGTGCTGAATGAATTAATAGATGTAAAACACCAAGGAAAATGCCTGGCATGTGGTAAGTACTCAATAAGTGTTGGCTGACAGCCATTCCCCTTTTTTGGAATGCCCCAGCTTCCCGTCTCCATCTTTCAGAATTTTAACAATTTTTCAAGGCTCAGATCAGATGTTACCTCCTTCATGAATTATTTTGTTATCTCCATCAGCCTCACATATATAGTCATGTGTCGCTTAATGACAGAGACACGTTCTGAGAAATGTGTCATAGACGATTTCATCATCATAGGAACATGGTAGAATCTACTTACACAAACATAGATGGTATAGCCTACTACACACCTAGGCTATATGGTACTAATCTCATGGGGCCACTGTCGTATATGGGTCACTGACTGAAACATCGTCATTGTCATTATGTGGTGCATGACTATAGTTTCTTTCTTTTACTTCCTACATTGGCACAGACTTAATAGTTGTGTGCATATTTATCATTTTCTTCTAGATAATTGCTCTCTATGAATAGAATCGGAATTTCACCTCCCTTTTGTATCAGCCTTTTCCAATATATAGCAGAGTTTTTTATACACAGCAGGTGCTCAATAATGTGGGCTGAATGGATTATAAGCCACTTATGTAAAAATGACCTAACTTCTGTAGAGATTCAAAAAGGGAGAAGTTTTTACTTTTGTATAGTCAAAGCAACAGTAAATTTATTAAAGACTGGTAGTACAAAACAATTCAGGTCTGGAATTTGAAATTCACAGACTTACAGAAAATCTATTATTTTTATTTCAGTCTTTAGTGGCATTTATGTCTCAGGAGAAATAGAGGAAAACAACTTAAACTTTCAGTGAATATGCCTTCTATGGAGGAATTAAGTAAGCTGTTGTTTATTTTCCTCCTTACATTGGTGGAGTTCCCCCCAAAGTCTGTACCCAGTCAGATGAGAGGGTACAGGGAGAAAAGGATATAAAAACCATGCCGTGTGAAGTACAGTGGAAATAACTGAGCACATCTGGTCTGTAAAATAGAGAGACAACAAATGAGGGAATGGGCACTGACTCCAAATATTTTAAGTGTAAGTATTCTAAACAGAGTTTCTCAGCCTGGGCACTATTGATATACGGGGGCAGGTAATTCTTTGTGGTAGGGGCTGTCCTGTGCACCGTAGGCTGTTGGCAGCATCCCTGGACTCAACACACTGGATGCCAGCTGTACTCCCACTACTTGTGACAACCAAAAATACCTCCAGACATTGCTAAATGTCCCCGTGGGTATATTTAAGAGCATGAGCTTTTAGAGTCAGACAAAACTTTTTAAATGACAAATGTAATAAAACCATTCTCAAAAGCAATATTGAAATGTATAAACCAGAAAGTTGAAAAGTCCTCTCTTCTTTTACTAATCTCCTTCCCCAGGGATAAGCAATGTAAGCCTGTTGGAAGTTGGTAAAAGTTGAATCCTCACTCTGTTGTAACCTTTGGGATTTGAGTAGTTACTTCACCTTTCTAGGCTTATGCTTCTTCATCTATAAAATGGGGATAATAATGCCTATTGGGTTGTTGTGAGGGTTAATTATAAACTAGCTATTAAAGGTATATTTTATGTGCCTGATAAATATGGTTATTCCTATTATTATTACTGAATCAAGATTCTCCTTATTATGTGTAGCTCCAAACCAGGACCTAGGAATGGGAGTTACAGGGAAGCACATGGATTATGGCACAGTTCAAGGAAGCGCGATATGACAGAACTATTAGAAAGAAAATAAACTATCTCATTGGGTAGTGAGGTCCCTGTTTCTAGGAGCACTCAAGCAAAACTTAAACTCTCAGTGAATATGCCTTCTAAGGAGGAATGGACATTACTGGGATGTAGTAAAGGAGATTCATTGATCAAGAAGGGGTGTAGAATAATTAATTCTGTGTACCCTTCCAAATATGAAATTCAGCAGTGCCAAATAACATGGACAGTTTCATTTGCAAAATGATGTGCTTTTAAAGAATTTTTTCATTAAAAATCTATTCAAAGAGGAAAATGTAAATTTTTTGGACAAGCACATCACTGCAGTGTCATCTATAGACTGTTCCTTTTGCCTAGGGAGGATTGCAATTCCAAATGATCCTTGATCCAACCAATCCAAGCCTCTCAGACTTGAGTTTTGGTCCTGGTCTTGCTTGAGACTGTCCCACACAGCATTCGCTCAGTGTGGTCACTGCATGTGGCATTAAACCGTAGCCTCTGTAGCTGTGTGAGCTTAGCTACAGGACTGTGGTTCAAAGCCTCCTGTTGTCATGGATTTAATACTGGGATCTTAAAGCCATTTCAGAATCTTTAACTGTCCCAGATTAGAGCCACTAAGTCATTCAAGAGTTGTTAACCTAATGGATCCTCTTAAGCAAAATAGTTATGTTCTGGAAGAAGGGTGTCTTAGTTGAACAGAGTCTCTACTGACCATTTTTCGTGTTTGAAATAGTGAGGAATCTGGAAACACTGGTGAGATGCACTTGATTAAATGGGCCATCACCTGTCCTGATTGTTTTCTTCAAGTTACTTTTAGGGAGCTATCCACTCCACTTTTGTCATTTTGACAAGTTTCCACTTTGTTCTACCTTATTCTTCACTTCTATTTAAATGTTTTAAAAATTCTGAGATTGGAACAGTCGTACATTAACTACTAATTCTACAGAAGACAGATGTTTAATAAGTCATGACAATATGACAGAAAGTCAATGCCTTTATGTCGTGGTTTTTATCTTTCCAAGGGTGACTTTGCACATAGGTTCTCTCAGTGGTAAGGATATGTATCCATGAAAAAAGCTTTAACAGAAAAAATGGATAGAGCAGTTCCCTATTCCCATGGAATTCTGACTTTGGATGCTTACCTTTGCTTGGAAATATATCGTACTAAAAGGAATTTTCACACATCCCAACCAGTGTCTCTCAATACGTGTGTGGATTCCACTTGCTCTTTCACGGTCATCCTAAAGGAGGGGTGGGAAGTAATAATTGTTTAAGAACTCCAGACGCTTATTTAATTAGTTTGGCAGCAGGAAAACAGCAGGATTTTAGCTGAAAGCACGTGGACTACGTTAGACCTGTCACCTTCTGGTTCAGACACTTAATGGTTTTGTGACCCTAGCAAAGTCACTTAACCTCTCTGAACCTCAGTTTCCTCATCAATAAATTGGAGATTTAACAATCTACCCCATAGGGTTATTCTAGAATTAAATAAGACAGTGTATGTGAAGCACTGAGTACAATTCCTAGAACATAGCATACGCTAATTTGAAAATAAAAAAGCTAGTTCTCTTCCGCCCTTCTTTTCCTTGTTTATGCATGTCAAGTTTCCAACATTTCAAACACAAGACAGATGGAAAACGTGTTAGGGACTTATAGTGGGTAGAGGATATGAAAATGAATATAGACGTCTTCCTTAAAACTGTGAACTTACCTCTAAGACATCATATAGTACTTCGTCAAAAATGTTAATAAACACGTCGTCTTTCACTGACTGCAAACTGGTCGTGCTGTAATTTCCATTAGGGGCCCTGCAAATGGGCACATGTGACCAGGGACCATGAAAATGGGCAAAGTAAAAATAATGAGCACTCAAATGTCAAAATTTGAAAAATACCAAATATGAGCATAAATATGTGGATTAAAAGCAGTGCTTTCAATCCAAGGGTTTATCTTGTACAGAAATAATATAATACCTACCTACATAACACATAATACCTGCGCTTAAATGGAGAGGGCACTAGACTAGAGGCTCCATTCAGAGAGATAAACCCCATCTGCTGGGGTGTCCTGGTGAGTCTCACATCATCTCCCCCACCCCCATGGGGAGCTGGCTAGGGCTGAGCTGGCTCAGGGGCCGGGCTACCTACACAGTCTCCAGCTGACACTGGTGCTCCTTTGTGGACTTCATAAGCAACTGGGTTCTAGAAGGTGCTTCTCCAGCAGAGCATTCCCCAGTCATAAACCTCCTATTGTTATATGGCTGGTTGAATGGCCCCTGCCTACCACTCACTTTCCCCATAGATGAGTAACAATGCAGGGGTGAGGTTCATCTTCTGTAACATCAGCCACTCTGAGTCCAGCCAGCCCTGGCCCAAGCAGGCCACTCTATGGCTTGGCTTGCAACTGGGCTACTGCATGTATTTTGTTGAGCATTTGCCTTTATGTTTTCTCATTCTTTTTGTTTGTACCATATAGAACAGTGGTATCTGTCTGTCTCTTCTTACTTAACTAGTTCTAATCCTTGCTCTGTCTCTAATTTACTATTTGGCCTTAAGCAAGTCACCTTCCATCTTTGGGTTTTAGTTTCTTTTCTATAAAAGTAGAGCGTTGGACTAGATAATTTCTAAGGTTGTTTCAAGATCTGAAATAATGAGTCTTAAATATCTAAAATCATTTAATCAAAATTTTAAAATGTCTATGTATTTCCAGTGAGGGAGAAAGCAAAATTTATGAGAATTAGAGAGTTTCAAATTTACGTCAAGCTTCTAGAGTTGGGGAGACAAGGAAGAAAGAAAAAGCATTGTAGGAGCCGTCAGGTTAAGGGAATGGGAAGCTTTGGGCTATACGTAGCTAAAGCCTGGGGAGGAGTGGGATGTCCCAACAATGAACTGGAGTTTCAAAAGCTGGACATTTTCCAATTTTATTCTTTGTTGCAGCCAATTGTGGTACAAGAGGAAAAACGTGATACTTGGTGTCAGGACTCCATTAGCCATTTTCCTTTGAGCCTCCGTTTATCTCACATTTCTTCAAAATATCCTGTAGTTCTTTAAAGAGGGAAATAGGCTTACCTGAATGGAAGTTCAAGTTCTTCATTCCAGCTAGGGTTTGGCCCATCAGCCGTAGTTGTATGGCAAATAGTTCGTTGAAAAGAAACTTCTACAAAAGGACGTACTAAAACCTTAAAATCAAGAGCAAATTTTAAAAGCCCATTAACAGTTAGCTGAATTATTTTTCTCTTAGTAGAGATAGATTGTGTTTATTAAAGAGTATGTTTCCAAAGAAAATGAGGCAGAAAACAGACTATGAAGTTTCTAGGCAATTCTTAAAAACGTAAGGGCAAGCTTCTAAATGGAGATCCAGCATTTGGGTATTTCACCTGGCTGAGGGGGTAGTCAGCACTGTGGGTTGGACTGTGTGTGGTTGGAGAAGCAGCTTGCTTTTCGCTGAAAGTCCTTGAAGATCTCGGTGGCTGCTGGAATTTGCTGGGAGGGAAAATGTATGAAAGAAATAAATGACAGGGAAAGTCTCATTACATACCGAGCAGATGGTTTCTCCAAAGATGTATGGTCCTGGTGGTGGAGGACAGATACTCTAAGCGCATTGCTGCTTCAAAAGTCTTTTAGTATGCTCTGGTCCTCTCCAGTCACCTAGTGATTACACGAGCCTCCTGAACACCTATCCCTAGGCCTGCATGTCTGGTTTGAACAGAGGAGAGTCCTCTTTCTTCTCCTCTCCCAGGGAGTGCCTGAGTGGAGACCCTCCTTTTGCCCCATAAATGGGAGCCTCATCCCTTTCAGGTAGCAGAATCCTGAGCTTCCTGACCAGCCTGCCCTGTCTCCATCCAACTCTGGCCCTCTCCCACTGTATTTCCTTTGAACCTGCACTCTCCAGCAACCTTGAGCTACGTACCCAGGTAAGACATCTCTCTCTGGGCCTGCCAAGCCTTGCTAGGAAAGGGAGACTGGGGATTCTTAGCTTGAGTTAATATCTATGGATCTTATCCTCTTTTTCTTTTGAGGTACTATTCCTTTTCTTTTTGCCAAGGAAGATTCACGCTGAGCTAATACCCATTGCCAATCCTCCTCCTTTTTTTTTTTGCTTGAGGAAGATTAGCCCTGAGCTAACATCTGTGCCAGTCTTCCTCTATTTTGTATGTGGGAGACCACCACAGTATAGCTAGTGAGTGGAGTATGTCCGCACCCGAGATCCAAACCCACGAACCCAGGCCACAGTAGCAGAGCACGCAGAACTTTAACCATTTGGCCATGGGGCCAGGCCCATGAGCTGCCATTCTTCAACGAAGAAATGAAGGTCCTCTCCAAGAGCCTCTCCAAGATACCTTCCCCTCATCCTAATAACCCACTTGCATATTTGTTTTGAACTTTATGGTTTACTATGTGTTTCACGTTCATGATGGGGCAAAGTACAAATTGTCTCTTTCTACCAGACCGTCTTACCTTTTTACAGATAAAGGTTTCAGACAAAGTATGAGACAGTAAAAGTGGAACATTGAACACAGCAGCTGCCAGAGAAAACCTTTTTCTCTTTGGTCCACCCTCAATTACATCATTACACAAACATTTGTTAAGTACCTACTATATACTTCAGGCCCTGTGTTAGACTCTGGGGCTGCAAAGACAAATGAGATACTTCAGCTCAGACTAGAATAGACAGCAAACGTGTAAACAAATAATCCTAATACAGTGGGATACATGTCAGACTAGAAGGATGGGTATGGGCAATAAGAGTACAGTAAGGGAGTTGAAAAAGCCTATTCAGTTTAGTTGCAAGGGGAGAGGGCTGAGATTAGGGCAGGCTTAATGCCAGAGTTGATATCTGAGCTGTCTTGATGAGTCTACACTGAAATGTATAATACATAAGATTGACTGTGTTTCCTTGTAATTATTTGAATGAACTGGCTTAACACTTAAAAAAAGACTCCACAGAAACAAACACATAGCAACGGAGATTGGTTTGGTGGTTACCATAGGGGGAGGGAGAAGGGAGGAGGGCAAAAGGAGTGATTAGGCTCACGTGTGAGGTGATGGATTATAATTAGTTTTTGAGTGGCGAACATGATATAATCTACACAGAATTTGAAATATATTACAATGTACTTCTGAAAGCTATATAATGTTATAATCCAATGTTACTGCAATAAAATTGTTATAAAAAAAAAACCCAAAAACTCCACAGAGACCAAAAATAAGAGAAACACCTAGATATTCTTTAAAAAAACAGCTTTTCAGGGGGCCAGCCCAGTAGCGTAGTGGTTAAGTTTATGCACTCTGCTTCAGCAGCCCAGGGTTTGCAGGTTCAGATCCTGGGTGCAGACCTGGCACCGCTCATCAAGACATTTTGTGGTGGCATCCCACATAAAATAGAGGAAGATTGGAACAGATGTTAGCTCAGCGATGATCTATCTTCCTCACACACACACACAAAAAAACAGCTTTTCACCACACAGTTGAACTTTGGTGCAATCAAGGTGAAAGGTTCGAGCCATGGCTCTAGGAAGCAATGTTGTGACACAGATTCTAGGGCTTAAGTGGACATTTACATGCAACAAAACATTGGGAATATTTGGTGATAATCAGATGTTCTATCATGGATGAAAGAATCAGTCAGTAAAAAAATAGGGCAAAATGGGGGGTGAGGGGTGAGGGATAAATTTAAAGGGAAGAAGCCAGAGAGGAAAGAAGATGCCAAAGGCTAGAATGGTGCTCTGCTGTGCATCAGACAGTGCTGGATGACCCTGGGCAAGCCACGTACACTCCTTTACTTCCATTTTCCCCTTTGTAAAATGGAGATAGTAATAGTAATGAGAAGTAAGTGAAATAATACGTATGAAAGTGCCTAGCATAGTGCCTGGGACATGGTGAATGTACAATAAATGACAGCTTCCCTCGTGATGCTGGCAAGGGCACCCACAAAAAGAAGTTTTAATTCTTGGTCCTTCTACCTCTGTTCTCTAAGGGTATAAGAAACTCAGGCTCACCTTACCTATGGTTAAGGGATCCCCACTGCCCCCAGTGTACGGAAATGTGGTAGACATAACTCCTTTCTCTAAGCAGATAAAAGGGAAGTCACATTTTTATGCTCTTAGCACGTTTCAGAACCTAAGACATATACCTTTTGGGTAGCTGCTCAGCTGTCACCCACTTCCCCACCTTCAGGATGGTCCTGGTGATCCTGCTCCCTGCCTATAGGTAATTAGACTGGATCAACACCTTACCCAAGTTCGGATCTTTGGAAGCTGACGCTTGGTGTGTGGTACCCTGACAGGAGGGATCACCTCCATCTGATGGAGAAGAATGAAGCAAACTCATGGAGGGAAGCAAGCAAGAGAGACAATGGGGCCTCAGAAGAAACCATCTTAATCTTTACAGTCTACCATGTAGTTCAGCAGTACCGCTTGTCCTTGAGTTCTGAGATATTCCCAATAAATCCCCACCTTAGCCTAAATTGATCGAGTTGTTTCTGTTACTTGCAACCAACAGGGCCTTGACTTCAGCAAGAACCCCCTCGGCCCCCACAGAACAATGACTATGTTATAAGTGAGAGTAGACATGCATAAAGAAGCGATCGACTTGGCTGGGGTCCTGCACGTTCCATCCCAGGCTGTATGGAGGGCTCTCACCTTGTGATTGGCTTCCTCACCGGAATGTCATAAGCCCGGATAATGTTCACCAGCAGCTTTATGTCTCCATCAGACAGGTTTTGAGCTGTCACCTTCTTCCGACCTTTTCTCCTTGGCCTCAGTGGTCGCTTTTGTTCTGCCAGCTTGAAAAGCCTCAGGCCCAAAATGCTAATAATTGTAGAACAGAGTTAGGACTCTAAGGGAAAGAAAGATCTGGAAAGTCATGGGACAGTTTCCCAAACTTTGCCCCAAGGTCCCTCACTGGCCTCTGAAAAACTCTGTCTTTTTAAGAAGGGTGGAAATTGTCAAGACCTTCTCCCAAGATGGGGGAGATCCTACTGCATAGATTATTAACATTTATTTTAGCTGCTACTGATCAGAGCAAGAGAAGCGTGTTTTGGCCCCTCCCTGCACCTCCTGCCTCGCTCTCTGCCCTTGCTCACTCCCAGTGCCTCAGACGTGCACCAGCTTTCCCACTCTGCCTTTGCTTGTGCCAGTCCTGCATGTAGAATGTCTCCCTCCACCTTCCTCCTCGTTTGCCCACTCGGCTGCAGTTTTACCCACCCTTCAAGGCCAGTCTGTCCTCTTCTCTAGAGGCCCAGCCACAGCAGCTGAAGGGGCGCCCCCTCTCCTAAGCCCCTTGAGCCCTTGTTAGCCTGCTCCATTTATGTGACAGTTGATGTTTACAGCCTTCTGGGGGCACTTCCTGGGACACCTCGCTCCCTGGAGTTAGACAAAACTGGGTCTGAATCCTGGCTCCGCTCTTTGACTTTGGGCAAATTATTTCACCTCTTTAAGTCTCTGTTTCATCATCTGTAAAATGGGGATAATAATACCTACCTCTTAGGATTGTTGAGAGGATTAAGTGAGGAGGTGTATGCAAAGCACCTGGCACCGGTCTAGCATTAGCAGATGCCCTAAAATGGTAATAGTTGGGATGCTGACAATGATTATGATGCCAGAGATTATGCTGGAGGAGGAGGAGGAGGTGGGGATAGGAGGAAGGCGGGGAGTCGGGTGGTGGGGAGGCGCCTTCTCTCATATCTCTCTACCTCTCACTGAGATGATATCCAAGAAACACTTCTGGGAAGATGAAAGCAACATGGTCAGTGAATCACAGGAGATAGGGCCGTGGAGCAAACTATTTAATTCTGGCCCAGAGACTAAACAGAAACACAGATATGACTTTGTATCTGGAAGCTGACATTACTGACTATGCCAAACAGCACAGAACAAAGCCAGCTGTGCGGAGCTGGCCCCAGGCTGCAATGCTCACACTTCTCTGCTTCCCTGCAAGTATTGGAGCTGGCCAAGCAGCCTCCTTGACTGGAGCCCTCTTTCCAAGAGGCAAATGCCAGCTGGGAGATGACAGCCCCCAAGGGGCTTCCAGGAGCTGTTGCTCCTGTTTGTTCTCCAGGGTCTTCTGTCCCACAGAGCAGAATAGCTGCTATTTACCAGCACCTTCTGTGAATCAAACAGAGTGCTAGGTAGCTTACATATAATATTTCTAATCCTTACAGGTATAATATTTACCCCATTTTTCATATGAAGAAACTAGAAGCTCTGAGAGGTGGTATGATTTGCTGAAGGCTCCTAAGTAGGAGGGGAGCTGGCATTCAAAAACTCAGATCACTCTGACTTCACAGTCCAGCTTCTTCTTTTTTTCCTTTTTTAATATTTACATATATTTATTAACTAATTTAAAACAAAAATAAGCCCATTATATTTTAACACAAAGTAAAATATGAAAAATAACTATCTTGTCCCAAACAAAAAACAGTGTCAGAAAAGTGACATTGTTTTATATTTTTGCAAATCTCTTTTTCTGTGTATGTGATTTATTATCTGCATTTTATTATTTTAAAGTTTATTTTTATTGAGATGCAATTAATGTACAACATTGTGTAAGTTTAAGGTGTACAACATGTTGGTTTGATATATTTATCTATTGTAATATTACCCCCTTGACATTAGCTAATACCTCCATCACATCACGTGATTATCATTTCTTTTTTGTTGTGAGAACAATTAAGACCTAGTATCTTAATTGTATCTTAGTAACTTTGAAGTTTATAATACAGAATTGTTGACTGTCTTCACTATGCTGTGGGCTTACTTATCTACTAACTGAAAGTTTGTACCCTTAAATAACTTCTCCCCAATTCCCCCACCCCCCCAGCCGCTGGTAGCCACCATTCTACTCTCTGTTTTTATGAGTTCAGCTCTTTTAGGTTCCACATGTAAGTGAGATCATACAACATTTGTCTTTCTCTCTGACTTATTTCACTTAACACAATGCAAAGGTCCATTCATATCATCACAAATTACAGCCCATCTTCTAAATCATTCTTCTAGGACACCTACCTAACCCCAACTTTGGGACCTCAGAGAGACACCTTTGCCAGGCGTCCTAACATGGCACATCCCTTCCTTTGTCAGTACCCCCTCCCTCCCCCAGAGGTGGCTCTCCTCATGAGACTTTGCTGCCCTCAAAGCAACCAGCATAGGAGCATCTTGGTGGCTGGGACCATTAAATACAGAAACATCTTAGTTTAAAGGTAAGAATGAACCAAAATTAAAAGAAGAAAGAACATACCCTGAGCCTTCAGAACTTAATGCAGAAAGTAAAGCAGAAAAAAGAAAAAGAAAGAAAAGAAATGGAAAAACAGCATGAAAAATCGTCATCTATTTTAAGTATAATTTTCATGACTGAACAAAACATTCAGTGACTGGATTCTGGGCCTGGAATAAAGAAAGAGAGTTTGCATGAATTTATGTGGGCACAGCCTCCTTTCTGTACATGGCAAAGCCAAAGAAAGAGGGTAGCACAGTTTTTGGTCTCCTTCCCAACTTGGTGGTGAAGAGGAAGTACATGCACAGGAAATAACCTTTTTTAGGAGATCAAGAGATTTAATCACAGAAGTTAATGGACTACACAAGACCACCAATATAGAAAGTTATCTTTCATCTTTTATGCATCCAAGTTATGCATCCAAGTTGAGACAATTTGAGGATTATTCTAAATGACAGGGAGACAATCAAGCAAATACAGTCAATTCCCAACTTCTCTGTAAATACCCATTTTCCCCGCTGCCCTTACCCCTCATCAGACACACAGAATCTCTCTGCCTCCCAGCCGTGCTGCAGGAACCAGGCCTCCCCTTGCCACCCAGAACCTGAGTGCACTAGTCCTCAGCCACCCCCACTGTCCAGTGAAGGAAGAGTAAGGGAAAGTTGGCATTGGGAGATGATGAAAGCAGAAGTATGTGCAGGAGGGAAATTAGTTTGACTGGAATGAGAAAATGGCAGAGGCTGGTGGAGTTGACCTGGAAAGAGTGGGATCTATGGACTGTGATGGAGAGGATCTCCTGTGACTTGTTCTAACAGAAACCCCTCAACTAATGTAATCATTAGGCGACAATCAGGTTTTACCTGTTTCCAGCATTATTAGGACCCAAATGCATACCATACAATGATAAAAATCTTGTATTTACATGAAAATTTTAATATGATACAGTAAAAATAATTTTTATAAGAAATAGCAAAAGGTTTGTTTTTACCTGATGTTGGGAACTTCTTCTTCTACTATCAAATCAGCAAGAAGAAAATGGTGTTTTGCAATTAGGAAACGATTTATCACCGATTCTCTAACCTGGGGAAAGAAATAAGTTTTATTTAAAATGTTCTTGTTCTAAGAACTTCACAGTTCACCGCCCTAATGTCACCTCAGCTCAGTCCTCCTTATTTTGCCCCACAGCACTGATCTCTTCCTACTGTAAATCATCCGGCTTTCCTCACTTGTGTAAGCTCCCTAAAGGCAGAGGGTTTTCTGTTTTTTTTTTTTTTTTTTCACAGCTGTATTCTCTGGACCTGGAAAAGTTCCTGTCGCATAAGATAGTAAAATTTTGCTGAAGGAATGAATTAACAATTATAAAACATGGGACCAGTCTCTAAGAACACACATTTCATAACTGATTCTTAAGTTCTTCCCCTATTCACACTGATTTACTGGTTAATTATTCTTTAAATAGAAGACCTCTTAAATGTCATAAATCGTTTTTTTATACATGAGCCACAGGGCAGATCAACTGGATGGAAAAATGTGCTGTAGTCACTGTAGCATTTCTTACAAGTGAAATTTATTGAAGGAAGGAAGGGAGGGAGGGAGAACAAAAAGGTATTTCAACTTTTTGGTGAATAAGGGTGGTTAGTATGTGATTTATAAAACTTTTTTATTGCAAAGATGATATGATGCAAACATTCAAATATTAGAAAAATCAGGACTTAGAAACTGAGTCCCTTGTAATCATACCTCATGTAAGATAACCACTGATAGTAAACTGAGATACATCCTAGTGTTTTCATATGTTCAAATGATGAAGATAGCTGGTAATTTCATGTCTGTGATTATGAGAAAATAAGTCTATAGGGGTTAAGTGACTTTTAAGTATCGCATAGGTACTTAAAAAAATAGAGACCCTCCTTCCCCAGTCTTAGGATGCTGGCTATTTTTCCCTCATGAGGACTGTTTAAAATGATTTTCCTTACCTGCTGGAGGTACTTGGCTACTATGGCCCTATGGGTATCAATGTGGTCCTTGGTTTCAATTACATTTCTGTCTCGTAATCGTTTCTCATAATCCTAAAGTTAAAAAGGAATAATTTTATGATTTTATATACTGTCTCACATTCCTCTTGAGATTAGAGAATTATTTATCACATGTTGCTTAAGTCGTAAATTATGGTTCTAAATGTTTCTTCCACTTTTCTCAACTTTTGGTTCAGAACTGACCTTTGATACAGTATCCAGGATTCAGAGTCAGTTGATTGAACTACCTTATAAGTAGAAGAGAAATACATAGAATAATTATAAGCTAAAATGTTCATGCAGGAAGAAATAGAGGCCACAGAGACAACAGAGAGAGTTGCTATAGTTCAAGATGCTACATTCAACCAAGCAACTTAGCCAAAGCCTCTGATTAATTTTTGCCTTTTCTATGTTAAGTAAAGCAATTACAAAAATTTAGCATCTGGCTGCAGCTGACTTAGATCACCTACTTAGAGGAGAGTAGTGGGTATTTTTGGTTTTCTCTGCTTAGGCCACTCACTGCACTTTCCTCTCTTTTTCTATCAATAAAATTCCATGTGGGCTTCGGGGAGCTGCGTTTTCTCCTTCAGTGCTTCTCTGATCACAGCTGAATGCCCAGGGTGGCCCATAACCCAGGCTGGATGACTCAAGAGCTGTTCCCCAAATTTTTAAACTTGGGACAAGAGGACACATCTCTCTCTCCTGGCTAAGGCTACTAGATGTGAACTTGGATGATGATGGTGACCATGCAGCCAAGTAGAGAAATCTGTCCAAAATGGGGGAAGATGAAGCCACCATACCAAGGGAAGCCCAGACAGGATGGAGAATTCAGGCCCCGGATCCAGTGTCCTTGAGGCACAGATGAATTCCTGCCACTCACACGTCTTAGATATTTAACCCTATTGTGGGATTTCATCATCCAATAAACTCCCCTTGGTGCCTGAGGTAGTTCAAATTGGGTTTTTATCACTTACAATCACAAGTCCAAACTAATACAAAGAAAAACCAAGTAACTAAAAATATACTCCAAGAATAGTTTCTGCATGAAAAATCATGCTGGTATTAATTTCTCACGGCTCTCCATTTACCTCATCAAACACAAACCCATCTGTCTGGCTTTTGCTGGCCTGCCCCACCTACACAAGCATATTAATTCCTCCTCCCTCGAGCCTTTGTGTATCCTGCTGCCCCTGCCCAGGATGCACCCCCACCCCCACCCATAGTCCCCTGCTTCCTTCCTGCCCCGCCCACCCAAGGCTGCCCCAATTCCATCCAGTTTGCCCTGTAGTACTGAATTGAAGAGGCATTGAATTCCTGACTAAGGCAGGGTAATTTGCCATATTAACACTTGAAATATTTTTCAACCCTACAATTTAATTTTTCTTAGTTTATATGTCATTATATCGAGGCAAAGAGATTATTTAAACATTGAATTTAAGAAAAATAATGGAAAGGTTATGTTAAGTGCTGTAAAAGAGAAACCAATATGCTACTAGGAACCTAACAAGAAAAACAAAATACATACGCAATAGTAGCAAAAGGCACAGCAAATATTTATTATTCTGTTAACTCCTCTATAGCAACTTCTTACCTGGAATACCTTTTCCATAATTTCTCGGTCATATACTGGAATTTGCTTATAATTTCGGAATTCTGGCACCTCTTGGCTTCTAAGACGAAGAAGCCTGAATCGTTTGGATCTATTTAATTCCTCATCTGAAACAAAGTTAAATTCCTGTTGTAGCTGTTCCAGTCGAAAGAAATCAGGGACATAGGACTCACCACTGGTTGCAACCTATGAAAAACAGAAAATGCAAAACTCTAGATGATGGACAGATTTCCTCCAAAGAAACCTAGCACTGGAATGGAATGGAAGTTTAACAGTTTTAGGCTGAAAGACTTGAAACATCCTGCATTTCATTTTAAGACAAAATACATTAAAATATCATAATAATGAGGAAGATCCTATTATATTCATTTAGTAGCTATAAAAAGTACCACAAATCATTTTTACAAAGAAATAAAAATTATGAGGTTCATTTTTGGTATGCCTTCTCCCCTAATGGATGTTATGAAAATATACAGACTGAAAAATGAGAGATTTATATCAGTGTATTAGTAGGTGCCTACTGCAAATAAGATTACTCATATACACAGTGTATATGAAATCAAATATATATATATTTGAAGAATATTTTCAAATATAACTTTTTACTATTTTTATGCGCATATGTAGATAAAGGCCTCAGGGTCAGCTGATCAGCTCCACTTGGCTCCACGGCCATGCTCTTTTGTCTCTGAACAGTACCTCATGGCCTTAGTCATTGAGAAAAGTGAGCCAGAGATGGATCCGGGCAAACCCCCAGTGCCCCTGTACAATGTCACAGAAAGGATGCCTTCAGTGCCACTGAGAGGCTGAGCAGGTGTGGGCTGCACTCTGCCCAGGTGTCTGCTTGCTGGGTGCTTGCTAGGTGTAGCTCCCTGCTGGGCAGACAGAAAGCCAGGGAGCAGAGATTTGCTGGGGCTTTGTGATGGGAAAGTTGATCTTGTTGCAAAAATCCTGGTTCATAACAAGAGACAAGTCAGGAAGGCAATCCCTGTGTTTTGTCCTTTTATGGGAAGACAAATATTTAAAAAGAAAAACATGAAGGTGACATGTGTACTATATTATTGCTGATTTAAAGATAGTAATTGAAATTTGAAAACTGTACATGGAATGGAATACACTTTAAGTAATATGGTCTATTCTTTCTGATATTTCTCTTATCCACACTAAGAAGTATCATGTTGGAAGGAGAGTCTATAAAGACAAAATTCAGAATAAACCAAAGCTCACTTTGGGACTTAGAAAGACCAGGAGAGAAATGAAAATTTTCATCCTGGTTATACTTACTCTACTAATGAACTCATACTAATAAACATGACCATAGAATGTGTTGCTATGGTCACTTTCCAGATCATGTACTTGTATATTATGTTTTTGTGAGAATTATGAACTTGGGAGTAAAAGCAATTGTATTTGATACCAAGAAAAACCATTTACTGACTAATGTTCCATTTTATTTAGAAAGTCGCTAAAGAAGTTTTTGAATGTTATGATAGATACAAGCAATTTATCTCATAAATGCTTAAGTGAAACCTAATATAATCTAATTAATCATCAAAGGAGAAAACAAACAAAACCACCAATTCTTAAAATGCCCTGTCAGTCCTTCAAGGTGTAATGGAATGAGGATGTGCTCTGAAATCAGACCAACTTGGATCCGAGTCCTTACTAGCTGCTTGACCTTGAGCTAGTAACTCTGAGTGTCTGAACTCAGTTTCCTCTCTATTTAAGGGGCAAAATAAAACCTTTCTTTAAGGGTTTTACAGAGGTTAGAGATAAGAGTAACAACAACAACAAGAGCTAATATTTACTGTATACTGATTGTGTACCCAGCTAAGTGTTGATATGCAGCAGCTCACTTCCTCATGACAAAACTATGAGGGCATCACAGGGCTGGGAAGCATGAGTGCTTGCCTTGATCACACAGCCAGGTAGGTGCAAAGCTGGAATTTAAATGTGCTATTCAACCCAGCATTCATGTTCTTAAACACTATCGTGTAGGAGAATATAGTGTAAAGAAAATGTGTGTAAAGGGAGGAGCCATTTCTATTATTGTCACACCAAGTTGAGAAATAGTGTGTGTGCACATTTCTCCTGCCACTTTACCAAGATTAGCTGCATCAAAGGGGCATTGTTGGGATCATTTGGGTCAAGCTTGGACTCTGCTGCCCACTTGGCCAACTTTTTCATGTCTGTCAGTCCCGAAGTGCCAATAGATGAGATGGCATCTGCTCTCTTCAAAGCACTGCAAAAAAAAGTTGATTCCATGAGACCAACTTTATCACAGAGGAGTTTGCCTCATGACCACAAAATCTCAGGGACGGCATTGCTTAAGGAGGCTGTTATTATCTATGAGAGAAAATCTGATCATAAGGAAGGACTTTTGCCATTTTTCTTTACTTCATGATTACTATTAAATGTTATAAGGATAATAAAGAAGTATGAATGGTAGGAGAAAATATTTGAAACCACACATCTGATAAGGGATTAATATCCAAAATCTATAAGGAACCCATACAACTCAATAGCAATAAAACAAATAATCTGATGAAAAATGGGCAAAGAATCTGAATAGACGTTTTTCCAAAAAAGACATACAAATGGACAACAGCTACATGAAAAAGGGCTTAACATCACTAATCATCAGGGAAATGTAAATCAAAACCACAATGAGATATCACCTCACACCTTTTGTAATGGCTATCATCAAAAAGACAAGAGATAACAAGTGTTAGCAAGGATGTGAAGAAAAGGGAACCCTTGTACACTGTTGGTGGGAATGCAGATTGGTGCAAACACTATGGAAAACAGTATGGAGATTCCTCAAAAAATTAAAAATAGAACTACCATATGATCCAGTATATATATCCAAAGGAAACAAAATCACTATCCTGAAGAGATATCTGCACTCCCATGTTTATTGCAGCATTATTTACAATAGCCAAGACATGGAAACAGCCTAAGTGTCCATCAGTGGATGAATGGATAAAGAAAATGTGGTATATGTGTATACACACATGATGGAATATTTTGTTGTTAGTGCCATCGAGTTAACTCTGACTCCTAGTGACTCTGTGTAGAGCAGAGTGCAACCTGCCCAGTCTTTTTGCGCCATCCTTTCATCTTTTGGTGCTATGTCAGACAATGCTCCCCTGCTATTTGTAGGGTTTTCATGGCCAATTTTTTTCAGAAGTGGGTAGCCAGGTCCTTCTTCCTCGTCTTTCTTAGTCTGGATGCTTGCACAGTCCAGACTGCCTGGAGAGGCACAATCACAAAGAGAGAGCACCACATGGGGGAAACTGGTGAGGCTTAGAGTCCCTTTCTTCTGTTGTGAATAGGAACCCAAGGACCTAGCCATCAAGGAAGAGGATGAGAACAGGGACTTTCCTATAACCAGAAGGTTCTACACCAGTCATCATTAGCAACGAACCTTTACTGAGGGCTAAATATATACAACTATGAGCTATGTACTCCCCCACCTGTGAAACACGGAAAAGAATACTTTGCAGAGTCACTGTGACCATTAAATAAGGTAAAGTGCTTGTGCTGTACCTTAACACTGATAAATACCAAATATTTTTTAGGCTATTAATATTTTAATTTTTACCTTAAGAATGATAAAAACCCCTGAAAATACTGGCACCTGACAATAAAAGGAAAGAATGAAATTTGTAAGCTTTTCTCCCCATTGTATATCATTAATCGAATCAATTAATCAATATAATTATGTTAAATATTAATATAATCAATATACTAATATATGATCAATTATATAATATAATTATATTATTTTTATATTAATTAATATATAACTTTATATATTAATGTATAATTTTTTTAATATTTGGAAAGGTGTTTTTTTTTAAAGATTGGTACCTCAGCTAACATCTGTTGCCAATCTTTGTCTTTTTCTTCTTCTTCTTCTCCCCAAAGTCCCCATACATAGCTGTATATTCTAGTTGTGAGTGCCTCTAGTTGTGCAATGTGGGACGCTGCCTCAGCACGGCTTGATGAGTGGTGCCGTGTTAGCGCCCAGGCTCCAAACCGGTAAAACCCCGGACCACTGAAGCAGAACATGTGAACTTAGCCACTGGCCACGGGTTATAATTAACACTGACATTGCTCATCAACTTGTTCTAGCACACATTACCTCCTAAATCCAATGTTCTGCTGCGATAATGGAGGAATTAAAGGTATCCCATTTTCTCCAATAGCCCATGACACACTGTTGGACACTTTTCCCGAGGTCATTAGGGTCAGTTGATTACTACCATCAGCTTCAAAGGAGAAGGGCACTCCTAGGGAAACACCAGATTAAACAAGATATTGTTTAGAAAGAGGGAGAGAGCCCAGTCCTGGTAAGAAAGCAGACAGTAGACAAATGGAACAGAGTAGGTGGGGGTGGCGGGGATGGAACACATAATTTCAATCAACATCACTGAACTTCTTCTGGCTATGATGCTCAGAATCGGCTACTTGACTCTATCTCTGACAGCAGAGTATAGACATGATAATGAATGCTGCACTCTGGGACCATCTGTGTGCATATTCTGGCTCTGCCACTTAACAGCTGTGTGACTGTGGACAAATTACTTAAATTCTCTGAGCCTTAGTTTCTTAATGTATAAAATAGGGATAATCATAGTACCTCCTTCAAAGAATTATTGTGAAGACATTCATTCATTTATTCATTCATTCAATAGATGTTATTTGAGCTTCTCCTTCATACCAGTCACTATTCTAGTCACTGAAGATAGATAGCAGTAAAGAAACAAAACTGATAGGAATCTGCGTTCTCATGAAGTTTATATTTGGGTAGGGGAGACAGACAGTAAATAAGATAAATAAGAAAACATGCATGGTAGGTTAGAGAGTGATAAGTGCGAAGGAGAAACATAAATTAGGGAAGGTATATAGAAAATGAGTGTTTTGGGGGGTGTGGAGGGGTTGAACTTTGTGATGGAGTGGCCAGGGGAGGCTCCATGAGAGAGGACTTTTCCTTTTTTTTTTTGAGGAAGCTTAGCCCTGAGCTAACTGAGCTAACTGCTGCCAATCCTCCTCTTGTTTCTGAGGAAGACCGGCCCTGAGCTAACATCTGTGCCCATCCTCCTCCACTTTATATGTGGGACACACCACAGCATGGCGTGCCAAGTGGTGCCAAGTCCGCATCTGGGATCTGAACCGGCGAACCCCAGGCCGCCAAAGTGGAACATGTGCACTTAACTGCTGTGCCACCGGGCTGGCCCCGAGAAAGGACTTTTGAATAAAGGCATGAAGAAAGTAAGGAAGTGAGACCTGGAGATATCTTGGGAAAGAGCATTCTTGGTAGAAGGAACAAAAGTGCAGGCACCCTCAGGTGGGAGTGTGCCCGGAGTGAGGAATAGCGAGTTGAGTGAGGTCATACTTCACAGCACTCAGACAGTGCCTGGCAAATAGTGACCACTCAACAAACGTTTGCTAAAGCTAAGCTATTGTGGTGACAGTAAAGCCTCACTAATTGGAAATTAGTGGTAAAACATCTCAGGGCAGTGTGTTTAATCAACTAAAGGAAGAAAGATTTTCAAGCACTAAATATAGCAACTTCACACTCCGAGGTTCTGGCTAATATTATTAGCACAAAACAATACCACTATTACACTGTAATAGCATCTTTGTGTTTTTCAAAGATCTTTCCTTCATATTGAACATACCATCTTGATCTTCAAAATAACCCTATCAGACATGAAAGGAGGTATTATTAGATCCATTTTATAAATGAGGAAGGTGATATTCAAAGAGGTTACATGTTTAGTAGGGTCACACAGCTTGTCAGTACCAGAGCTGGAACTAAAGCCTAGGTCTCCAGAGGTTTAGACTGGTGATTGGATTTGAGCCTCAAAGAATTCTTGAAGATAAATTTTCAGATGTGAGCTCACGATAAAAAGTCACCAGACAAATGAGGAAACAAGCCATCATGAGCAAGAAGAAACAGAATCAGACCAACAAGTAGATAGGTATTGGAATGATCAGAAACAGAATAGTAAAAAAATATTTTTAATACATTTAAAAAATAAATGAAGTAATGAATGAATAAAAGAAATGATTAAGTCTGAGAAAAGGACAAAAAGTTATCAGACCTGACTAGATTGATTGGAAAAGAACTAAATAGAATTTCTAGAGGTGAAAAACACAATAACTGAAATGAGAAATGCAATGATGAATGTCAAAGATTAGACACAGCCAAAGAGTGAATTTATGACTTGGAAGACAGATTTAAAGAAATTACACAGAATGTAGCAGTGAAAGAAAAATATATCAATTATATTAAAGAGAGGTTAAAAAATATGGTGAACATAGTGAGAAGGTCCATCATATATTTAATCAGAATTGTAGAAGGAAATCCCTGATTTCAAAATATACTATAAAGCTGTAGTAACCAAAACAGCATGATACTGGCACAAAAACAGAGACACAGATCAATGGAACAGAATTGAGAGCCCAGAAAAGAAACCACACATCTATGGACAGGTAGTTTTCAACAAGGGAGCCAACAACATACAATAGAGAAAGGAAAGTCTCTTCAATAAATGGTTTTGGGAAAACTGGACAGCCACATGCAAAAGAATGAAAGTATACCATTATCTTACACCATAGATAAAAATTAACTCAAAATGAATTAAAGACTTGAATGTAAGACCTGAAACCATGAAACTTCTAGAAGAGAGCACAGGCAGTACACTCTTCAACATCGGTCTTAGCAGCATATTTTCCAGTACCATGTCTGAATGGGCAAGGAAAACAGTAGAAAAAATAAACAAATGGGACTGCATCAAACTAAAAAGCTTCTGCACAACAAAGGAAAGTGTCAGCAAAACGAAAAGACAACCTAAGAATTGGGAGAAGATATTTGCAAACTATATATCTGATAAGAGGTTAATTTCTAAAATATATAAAGAACTTATATATCTCAACAACAAAAAAAACTAACAACCTAATTAAAAACAAGGCAAAAGATCCGAACAGACATTTCTCCAAAGAAGATACACAGACAGCCAACTGGCACACGAAAAGATGTTCAACATCACTACTTATCAGGGAAATGCAAATCAAAACTACAATGAGATATCACCTCACTTTCGTCAGAATGGCTATAATTAAGAAGACAGGAAACAATAAGTGTTGGAGAGGATGTGGAGAAAAGGGAACTCCCATATACTGCTGTTGGGAGTGCAAACTGGTGCAGCCACTATGGAAAACAGTATGGAGAGTCCTCAAAAAATTAAGACTAGAACTACCATACAGTCCAGCTATTCCACTGCTGCATATTTATCTAAAGAACATGAAAACATGGATGCTTAAAGATATACGCACCCCTATGCTCATTGCAGCATTATTCACAATGGCCAAGACTTGGAAACAAGTTGCCCATCAAGGGATGAATGGATAAAGACGATGTGGTATATATACATACAATTGAATACTACTCAGCAATAAAAAAAGATGAAATCTGGCCATTTGTGACAATATGGATGGATCTTGAGAGTATTATGCTAAGTGAAATAAGTCAGAAGGAGAAAGTCAAATACTGTATGATCTCACTCATAAATAGAAGATAAACAACAACAAACAAACACATAGAGGCAGAGGTGATTAGGCACATGTGTGTGGTGATGGATTGTAATTAGTCTTGATGGTGAACATGATGTAATTTACACAGGAATCAAAATATAATGATGTACACCTGAAATTTATGTAGTGTTATAAACCAATGTTACTGCAATAACAAAAGTTTAAAAAAAGAATTGTGGAAGGAGAAGAGAGAGAATATTGATTAATAATCTCCCTATTGTAATTATCTCAAACTTTTCAGCCTTAGAAATAATAGCATGATGTACATTTTTTTATCCACAAACTTTATCCTAATTTTAAATTATTTTCTTAGGAAAGATTCCTAGAAGTAGAATTAAAGCATCAAAGATATCCTAAAAGTCATTAATTTATACAGCCAAACTACTTTATACTTGCATAGTTATATGAATTTACTGGCCATCAGTGGTATACAAAAAATGACTTTGCAAAAAATTATATGTCATTATTATTTTAATTTGAATTTCTGATAGCAATTTTATAATTATCTGGCTGTCTGAGAAGTGAAAAAAAAGATACGTTTAAATCTGACAGTGAAACTATGAACCATTGAGGATAATTAGCTTTCCATACCACTTCCAACTCCCTCGTGGTCCAGTGTCACATGCTGGTTACTGCTAAACTCTACTTCTTCAAGGGGAGCCCTTCCAGTGACAACAGTAGTTTCAGGAATAGGCAGAAACACTTCTGCTAGCAAGGTTGTCCCACTGTGTCCCACTGTTTCATATACCTGAAATTGAGGAAGAGAAACAGCCAAATAAAAACAGATAATTAGTCCATTTATCTGTGCTAGTCACTGTTCCAGCCCAGAGGGCCCATCTCAGAGTGCAAAGTTGAGTCGTGTTACTATAGTCCCCATGGAGACTAGATTACACTCTATTTGTGGCTAAATTGTTAACACCCTGTCCTCTTGCTTAACCTAATCTGCTGGGATAGAGAGGTTAATCGGAGTAGCAGGCTACTACAGTTGTTTCCATTTCAGGTAAATACACAGCTTACCTGGAGAATGGGCTTCCTCCTTTTCGTGGTTCAGGTTATTTCAGAGAGAAACGCCAGCAGGTGAAATGGTTGAGATAATATGGACATACCACTATACAGTTTATTATCTGCGCCAACCTCAAGGTCAAGAAGGGAAGCACCATACCTAGAATACTCTAGAGTATCAGATTCAAATCTACTATTTAGTAAATCTCTCAAATTCTTCCTTTCAAGACCTCCTTTTATTTGTTAGCTATTGAAACCCTACCCAGCAACTTCTCAGACCTTCTCCCAAGATGGAGTCAACTAGACCACCTGCAATTCTGATACTAACTACTGTGGTGTGTCTCATTATCATGCAATCACCATGAGGTGAAGGACCCCCTGCAATCTTAGATTACGAATATAAAATCCAGCCTCAGTAGGACAGTATGCTCCATTTGATCAAGTTTTCCCCTGAATTTTTGGATCATTTCACTTTTGTAGTAAGTAGATGACAAAATATTCCAGAGCACTGCTGGCTTCTTTTCTGCGTTTTATTCTTTCTCTCCATGAGGTCTCTCTGGCTGTTACACATTTCTCTACAATGCTGATTTTATTCACTCTATTTCTGCTAATTAAATCTTCATATTTTTCTTCTTATGCAACAGAGTCCCCCCTGATTAATATTTTCCACTTACCACTTGAATGCACAAGACTCATACAAAGATGACATTATAGATCCTCTCTACCCACCCTCCCTTACAGGGCATATGATATAAATTCTTTTCCGAGAGTGAGGATGAATTTGTGCCGGGCTGCCGTCCCGGCCTCATCTCCCTGGTATCCACCAGTTCACATTTGCAAGATGGCTGACTGAAGTTGGAAGGGCTACTGGGCAAAGACAAAGGCAAAATCTGCATAGGAACTGAACTCTGCGCCCCAGACTGAATTAATATCACCGTGAGCTATTCTAACAGGCTGGGTGCATTGGGAAACCTGTGATCATTCAGGGCTTGTCTGTGCTCAGTGGCCAAGTCTGCCTAATTCAGGGGCTCAGCAAGAAGCCCAGGAGGGGCATACTGAAGCCTCACTCTCCAAATTCATCTTTATCAGTCAAAAGGTGATATTTTGATCTATATTAAAAAATCTTTTATGAAAAATTTCAAACATTAATAATCCTAGAAGAAGAATATACCATGGACCCATCACCTAGCTTCAACTACCATTAAGTTATGGTCAGTCTGGTTTCATCTATACTCTCAACCCTTCCCCTCTCCACAATATCTTGCACCTAAGCATCATTTCATCTGTAAATATTTCAATATGTATCTTTAAAAGATAAAGATATAAAAAAGCGTAATTATAGTACTATTATCACAGTAATTCCTTAATAATGTCAAATATCAGTAAGTTTCAAATTTCCTTTTAAAAAGTCTCAAAAAATGACTGTAATACTTTGAATCAGGATCCAAATGTATTCTATACATTGCAATTGATCGATATGTCCCTCAAGCTTCCATTAATTTATAGTTGACCCCTCTCTTTTTATACTTTTTACACTTTTTCTCTATATTTTTATTGGTTCAGAACTGTAATGGAAAAAGGATCGCCATTTATTGCCCACCCCAAACTCTCATAAGAGCCTAGAGTTTTATAATCTTACAGTTTACAGAGCATGTAGCAGATTGCTGTCTATTGCATAGGAGACCTTGGTTTGACCTTTTAAATTGTGGACTTATGGGCATGAAGTTTCAGTGTGAGAAAATGGTGGGTTTTCTTTCCCTTTTTAGATTTTTTATTTTTTGCCAAAATTTTAGTTCAGTGAGACATCCCCTTACATGAAACCCTGTAGTGGCTTTAGGTCTGTTATCTTGTCTAATGATACTGGTTTGGTGAGGGATGGTTTGTAGTGAAGATTAAGCAAGATAACAGACCAAACAATTCTAGATGATGGAGTTGAAGCTCAAAGAGGAGAAGAAACTTCCCCCAATCACCCACGTGATGAGTCGCAATGCTGAGAATTGAATCCACAGTGTTTCACTTCAAAACCCATCCAATTTTTGCTATGTCTTCCTCATGGGCCAGGGGAAATCAGAAAAGTGATTAAATGAATTAAAAATCCTTTTAAAGCCATAACCATGATCCATAAAATATAATTAGTTTAGACAATTTGGTGAGAAATAATGATTGAAAAAGAATTTAAAATCTGAATGAAAGAACAACAAAAATTGGAAGCACTGCAAAAACAATGGTTGTAATCACAGCTTAAAGGACCACCTGAGCATATGCAATTGTGATCAAAAGACCACCGAGCACTTCCTGTCTCAGACTTCTCGGTTGCCTAGAACTCCCAAGGGGTTGCTCTCTCTGCAAGGCAATGGTGCACTGTTCACTCCAGCCCAGGTGCTTTAACTCATGTAAGGTGCCCATGCTGCACTGGGCACCGAGTGAGTCATGCATCCCCGAAGCTGCCACAGGCCTACCAATACCCACTTATGTGCCACTGCTGTACCTCCTGTGGTTCCATATAGGAACACTTATCCATTCTATTGAAATTCCTTTGTTTATGCATCGTTTGTCTCACTGGATGGTGAGATTCCTGAGGGTAAGGATCTTGCCTGATTTCCCATTGAATGACCAGTACCTGCCATCTGGAAATTAATGTATTTAGAAGGGAGCATGTTAACTCTTAGAAGTAAGGCATTAGATGATAAATCTGTGGAACATATTTTTCTCTTCTCTGAACAGCTGATAGACTTGGGTGTAGTATGGCTGTCAGATTTTTCTTTTCAGATTTTATTTTTTCTTTTTCTCCCCAAAGCACCTACCCTAGGTACATAGTTGTATATTTTTAGTTGTGGGTCCTTCTAGTTGTGGCATGTGGGATGCCACCTCAGCATGGCCTGATGAGTGGTGCCATGTCCGCACCCGGGATCCAAACTGGCAAAACCCTGGGCTGCTGAAGCAGAGCGCAGGAACTTAACCACTTGGCCACGGGGCAGACCCCTGGCTCTCAAATTTTTTCCTCTGTCTTATTTTACTCCCCACTTGACTGTCCTTCCTCTCACAGCCTGCAGAGGGCAGTGTGGTTAACAGGACAGGACAGCCTGCTGGTCCAACAGATTTGAGTCTGAAAATCTGACATAGCTGCTTACTTGCTGTGTGACCTTGGGCATGACTTTTTCTGCCTTTTTGCTCTCATTATAAAATGAGGATGTAACTCAAAGCCCAGCAGGAAGGCAGTGGTGAAGCTTAGCTGAGATGGATGAAAGGTCTCTTCTCTTCAATCTGAGCTCAATAAATACTTATTCTTCCTCTGGGCAAACAATTGACAATAAACACATGCATTTTTAAAGTACTTTGCAGTTTACAAAGCTCTTTTATAAACATGACTACATTTCCCAAATAGCTCATTAAATCTTGTTGGTCAACTGATTTTAGTAAACTTTATGAAATAAGAATTTCTTTCTTTCTTTTTTCTTTTTTGCTTGAGGAAGATTGGCCCTGAGCTAACATCTGTGCAAATCTTCCTCTATTTTTTTTTTTTGTACGTGGGACACCGCCACAGTGTGGTTGGTGACTGGAGTAGGTCTGCAGTGGGGATCTGAACCTGTGAACCTAGGCTGCTGAGCAGAGCATGCAGAACTTTAACCACTCGGCCTTGGGGCTGGGCCCAAGAATTTCTTTTTTTTATTAAACTTATAAGATCTATCTTTTCAGGACTCCCTAACTTTTTTCAAGGAAGACATTAAGCTACTGATGATTTATAGGAATTTTACAGCGTATTCCATATTTGTAATTAAACCATCTATATTTCTGGGTACCCAAAAATAAGATGGCGAAAAAAGAACGATATTAAGGCTTAAATGCTTTAAAAAATAGCAGGAGTGAATAAAATCCTGACATTACTTTAAGTTAAGGGAACAGAAAGCATACCAATAGTCAGAAAATACCATTTATGATGGTAAAATGCTTCAGAAGGTGACATAAATGCAGGATTTAGTATTTCTTTAAACCTTTCCTGACCTTGCTTGTTTCTGTCTTCACTCCTCCTATGACTACAGAATTCCAAAGCACTCAAACTGGTACCCAGTGCAGCTAACTCAGGGTGTGAAACATATCTAAACATAAGAACAAATCCAAATATTTTTCAGATACCCTACATCTTCTTCCGTTATAGAACCATCAAGTGTTTGTTTATTCAGCTGTACAGGACAAAGTTTCTATGTTATATGACTCCAGTGGCTTTGTAAAAACATCGCTGTTAGACTTTAATAGTTCACCAAATATTTTATTGTGGAAGGACCACAAGAGTTGCTTCTGAGTTTGTTTTAGTTTTTATTCCTTGTGGGTGTGCCCTGTATTGGTCACCATTCTTAGTGACGACCCATAAACATGCAGTAATTGCATTAAGGGCATTTCTGGTGGATGTCAGTGGAGGGGTCCTTTTTCCCAGTCTCTGGAGCCACATTCCTGTCTAGTGTCACGAGAGGAACCGAATGGGGACTCTTGGTGCTGAGTCTGTGGGACAAAGGCAGTTATGAACTCTAGGGGAATGGAGGGTTTGCATATTGGGACTACTGTCTCAGAAGATAATTCTCTACTTTTTCTAATAAGGAAAAAATGGATTCCATCTGACAAAGCCAAAAAACATTCAAAAATTTTCCAAACTTTTCACCCTTCTCCTTAAAGGTAGCAGCAGTTCTATTTAATGCTAGGATAAAATGCTATTTTTAAAAATCAGAAAACAGGAACTTTCGGCTTTAAATA